TTTTGTGCCATTCTATTGTTGGAGAGAGAGAGATGTCTCAGTAAAAGTCACTGAGTCCTCATTAGCTTTTGGCCGATATAGAAAGCTTCCCCACATATGTTGCCAATGTTGTTGTTACCAAGTTATGGTTCAAACAAGTTGGAATCAAATAATTATGTTGTTTCTGTGTGGCCAATATTTGGCCACACAGAAACAACATAATCAAAAAATTAAGCAGCAACTAAGAAGCTTTTGAAAATATATGTAAAACCCAACTTCACATGGATGTCATTTAAAATGACATAGAAATCTGAAGTTTCCGTGGTATTACGGTGTCATTTTAAAACATGAAATACCTAAATCATCTCCTGTGAATTCACACAAACCATTCTTTCCTAAGAGAAGCAGACTTTGTCAGTAATTAAACTTCCTCTTAAACTTTGTTCAAAACCACATCAGCCTGACTGGAACAGATTAGTCAAAGTAGCTGTTTGAGAGGTTGCATGGCTGAATGTGAACGTACTTTTCCAGCTTGAAGGTTATTTTTTCTGAAATAACGTTTTGTGCAACCGCAACTTAAAAGAAGTGCAAAGCGTGTTTATTGAGTTATTAAATACAAAAATCCTGGTGATTAAAAATGGGGTTTTCTGAAAATCTGCTCAGGATTATGGGCTGTGAGTGATGGGCAGTCAATAACCCCATATGTGTTGAACTCTGCAAAACAAACCAGTTTTATCAGAAAAAAAAAAAGTTTTTATTTTTAGCTTTCACTGAAACCTCAGATTCCAGCCAAACCAAAAATCATATTTGTCCCTGTCTAATTCAGCTGTGTAAGAGGTGTTGCAATTGAAGTCTTTTATTTATCCAAAAACACAACTGCCTTGGCTGAAAAAGAACAAGCAGATTGCCAATGATTCCAAATCTGTTCTCCCACAGCAGACTTCAAATAGGTGAAGCATTGCAGGCAGCTGCAATAAGCACAAGCATGTCAGTTTGAGTTTGCTTGGTATTCATCAGCAGAGGCTGAGAAATTATGACAAATACTCAGAAGTGAAATTACAGAAAGAGTTTTAGCAAATGGCTCATTCTCCTTCTTTTAAGAGCGAATTGACCAGAGACCTGAGGTATCTGAGCGTTTAAAAAATGGCATGGGTTTCAGTAGTTAAAGAGTTAAATGTGGATTTAAGAGCAAAATCTTCATGAGCTCTGCAGTCGCATTACTCTGAATAATTAGTTAATTACATTTCGATAAGGGAAGAGGGTTTGTGAGTCTGTAAGGCTTCCTTTGATATTCAGAGTAGCTGATATTCAGCTGGCCTGTATTCGGTGGGGGTGCCATTGGATCCTTGTTTGGTGTCATGTGATGATGTTGTATGTCTAACAGTTCCCCTGTTTTTCATTAACGTATACAATATCAGAATCGTGTCTCTGCTGATAGGGCTGCAGGGTAATGGAGAAAGTTACTCATGGAGCAGTACTGCTGAGCTTCAGGCAAGAAGAGACATGACAGGTTCTCCGGCTGAACATTGCTGTTTCACATATTCCATCAGACAGACTTGGCAAGGGAAAGGCTGCTTTAAGGCACAAAAACTTTCATGAAAGTATGTGTATATTTCATGTTTGCCATTTGTGGATAAAGTGAGAGGAGATACTCAGGAGACTTAGGAAACTTTCAAAGCTGCCCGTTCTTGTGGCAGACACAGAATTATCACCATAATCTTGAAGGGCGCTTTAATTTAATCTCCTGTCTTGTTTTGGTTTGAAACTTTACTGTTTTAGTTTTATGTCTTTGTTCTGTTCTCAAAAAGGCAGTTTCACAATGTTAATCTGGGGGTCTAGAAAGCTGAAAGAAAGACAGCAAAGACCCAGCATCAACACCTGGAAAACGTCAGAGATGCCCGTAAAACGTCTTTGAACACATTTGTGTCAAATCACTTGTTATTGTGGCATGATGCCAACAAAACTGTTGCAGGAGGATTTGAGTAAGTTAGTGTTTTTATGGAAATTTCATTTTTTAAACATAAAAAACTATCAAATTTACAATGTCTAAGGTTATTGAAATTCCACTTAAAAAGGGAGATACGTGTATCAAGTAACAGACACCCATGTAGGAAAAGCCAGAAGTTCAGGAGACTTAGACCCAAATAACGGGGTTTACCTAAGCACAGGAGATGTTCTAACCATTAAAGATGTTCACACCAGATCCCTGAATTTCTTGGTTCACCCCTGAGTCAATATTGAAGACACGCCCAGATCTGACAAACATGGAAAATCATGTCTAGATTCCAGTGTCTCTTTTATTGGCTACTTTTATAACTCGAAGATTTGCATCCAGTAAAAGCTAAACAAACAATGTGCAGCCTTTAAGTTGTTGCCCCTTTTGTGGTTTTGGACTGAAAGTGTTGTACCAGCTTACCTCAAGCACCATGGTAGATTCAGCTCAGCAGACAAGTCATCACAGTGTGGTCAGCTAACACAAAACTATTCAACATGGGCCGCACAGTCTGAAGCAGCCAGTGCATTAAGAGCACCCCGTCTCATCTTGATAAACCACTCTTAACATTAAGACCCAAATTGAGAGTGAATCAATCACTCTTGGAAATAGATATGATCAAATTTAGGACAGAGTCATTGGAAGCAAATCAAATCCCAGGCCATATCAATTAGCCATTGTTAAACCTCTGGAATTCCAGGCATAGCCTCCTTCCTAAGAAGGCATTGTTTGGGGAGGAGAGGTGTGAAACAATTATCCGGCAGCCTTAAAACACCATTAGCTCTTCGTCATAACAGTCAAAAGTTGATTTCAGTGTGTGCTTCTTTAACAGTTAGCCAAGCCGCCATCTTCCAACAGCCCACCACTTCACTTTCCCTGGTAAAATTCAAGGGTGCCTATTCGTTCTGCAAAACTATCATCTGGCATGGAAGCCTCTAAATCTTGTTATAAGCTTGGAGGGGATAGAGTGGCACACCATTTATGAATGCTGCATCAAAGCCTGGAGTACTTTTTGAGAATCATTCCCACTCCTCAATGCCAAAACAGAAAAGAAAAAAAAACACGCAAAAATAAAACTGCTTTACTTTGTCACAAGCTTTAATGACAATTTATATTGTCTTGAAGCATGGCGGCAGATAAAATGACACCGTATTGAGTCTGACCTTCATCCCCTGACCTACTCTTTCCCCTCAGCCAGAAGAATACAATTTGATAGAAATTTGACGAATAAATCCACTGCAGCAATTTAGCACACAACTCCACAAAAGCTAAGAGAGATCCCAAATATAAGAAAATTGGCCAAAATATAGGGAAATGCAGCTGCTTAATTTTGCAGACCTCAATCGTCTGCCTCTTAAAGTCACACTGCCTGCTGGTTGAATGAGAACCGTGGCAAACATGCTTAGGCTTAGCCACATATCCTACGAGGGTTACTTTGAATGTCTTTCTCTCCTCAATTTCTCTATCACTGAGGCAAACAATGGCAGAATGACTTCACTGGAAGGAAAGAGGACGTTTAGTCTTAGACCAGTAGTCTCCCCCCCAAAAAAAAGCTATACAAAGCTGCAAAAATTAAAAATAAAGATTTTTATTCTTAATTTAATTACACCCCCAAAACATACCTTTATGTCTCATTTAAGTTCATCAGGAGAGAGGAAAGCAGGGTTATTGGTTTATGGCTTGGCAATGCTGCCCTTCAGTGGTAGATTACCAGAATAACCTTTTCTGTTGACGAGCTAGAGAAAATAACAACACTAAACAAAACAAAATGTGACAGGGAAGCAGCAAAAACTGCTTCATTTTCGTCATAAATAAACATAGAAATACAATTCCACTGTCATCCTGTAATCAGTTGTGATACAGTTATCTTTCAGTGAAGAACTGCTGTTTAAAAGCTCTGAAATGGAATCTCTTCTCTTACTTTCCCCCAGCAATATCAAGAGAAAAGCAGTGATTACTCAGTGTCAGTTTGAGCTCTTCATGCCATGAAAAGGGCACTCCTCGGTGTAGGTCAGGTGCACGCAAATGTCAGGTTCTGTCCCAGTGAAATCATGACAGATGTTTAGTGGCACATGCCTGAAAACTAATCTGATGTGATGATCCATCAACCCTGCTTAGTCCCCTGCTTTCATCATATGGAACCTCAAGGACAGGCTGATGGAACGCCGTCCTCTGGTTCCTTGTTCAAGACATCAAAGTACCATCTGAAAAGTATTGCTCCAGTTTGGAGCAATACTTGGATTCTGGAAATATAGAGAACTCAATTTTTCCTTTCATCTTGTTAAAGCATTGTCCGCAGTTGCTATATGATTACAAATGTAAAACTATCCCCTCGTGTGCAGTTGTGACACATATGTTTGAAGTATTTAATGGTGATTTCAGTTACATCCAGTTCAGTAAATCAAAGTAAATCAAATGAACTATGAATATGGTCAAATTATTTATAGGCTGTTTAAGAACATTTGGAATACTTTCCCCCACTTTGATGATATTATCGTGAGCTGTTGCTCTTTTTCAACAAGAATACAAGGCAATATTTACTAGGGTTTCAAATTAACTCTCACACAGGACCACAATCCCATGAGCCGCTGCCCATGTGCCACCCACATAGTGCCAAACAAAGTCCACCAGTGAAAAATAGCATGTCCAAACCCTAAAACACTTGTATAAACAATATACATTACACCAGTAACCACCCATCACCATTTGTGCTCACGGGGGAAAAGAAAGGAAAAGAAAAAGAAAAAAATGGCTCACAGGACATCCAAAACGTCACCGAATGTGTTCCCCTGCCTCAATGTGATGAATAATAACCACACGATTAACTCATTTATGTCAGAACTGGGCCAGGCTCTCAGACAGTCGGGCTCATGGCCGCTGCAGTGCCTCTGTTTGTCCATTAGGTGTCGCTCAACTACCGCGTCTCCGGCATCCAACCCGCGACCTGCGGCCCGGGCCGTCTGCGTTTCCAATTGTCTCGGGCCAATCATAGCAGGGGTGGGCGGGGCCCCGCTGTTACTACAGATACTCCAACAAGTCTGCTGCGACCTGCCGCGGCACCTATGAGCCTCCACGTAAATGAATAGCGTCGGCCCGCGCGAGAGACACGAGAGCTGATTATGCCGAGATAAGGAGAACAGGACTCGCGCTCCGTCCCACCATGTTCTGTGACGGTTCACCCGCGGAGGACTTCCCGGACAAAGTGATGCCCGGAGCGGCTCCCTGCACGTGCGGCAAGAAGTGCAGGGGCCGGAGCAGCACTCTGGTCTTCCTGGGATTATTCCTGCTGTCGCTGGCCCTGCACGCGGTCACCCTCGTCTGCTACCTGGACCTGCGGTCCGAAGTCAAAAGGGAGATTATCCACCAGAAGCGGGAGTCCGCGGTGACGCTGGCCGGCGGTGACCCCGCTGACCCCGCTGACCCTTCGGCCGTGTCCGCGCCCGGCCACCCGCGCGCTGACCCCGGCAGCACGCGCCGCGGAGACGCTCACGAGGTAAGAAATAACGCAACAAAAACCATCACACGAAAAAAATAGACTCAATTACATATTGGTCAGAAACGACAAAGGAAACTGAATAAATGTGAGTGTTGCTCGGAGGCTGTGCGTGCTCATCCAGCCCCGCTCAGCGCTCCTGTTCCGGTATCACGGGTGTCAGGTTCCGAGTCTGTGAGCCGTCATGGCATGTTTCTGTCAACTTGTTTTACAGTAGCCTGTCACGAAGTGGGGTCAGCTCAGCTTACAGGCGAACATGATGGAAATAGTAGGTTTCGTGTGCGTGATTGTCTCTTGGGGCACGGGTGAGCTCGTCTTTCGGTCTGTCATCTGGCCAGTGAACACGTCTGGCCACTTTCACGTGAGTGAAAGTTTGCCAGCTCCGGTCCAAGTTCGGGTCTAACAGAAACGCAAAAAACCGCAACTGGGGGACGTCTTTAAGCACGCTCTCTCGTTTTAAACCGGCCCGTATCTGACCCGGTTCCCTCGCATCTGTTCAGATCAGATGCTGGGAGGCTGGACAGGCTGCTGGCCGGAGCCGCGGAGGGGTCAGGCAGTGTGCTGGAGCAGGTGGACTGCCAATTAAGTGGATCACCGGCAGGTGCAAAACCCGAGGGGCCTGATGTAAATTCATCAGGACTTAGATGGGGCAATTGGTCGCTGGAGCCCAGCCAGCCCGGTCTCACATGTGTTTTCTTTTCTGGCAGCAGGCTGATTGAACACTCATTGTGTTGTCTGTGGCTTTGGCAACGGCCCTGCACCACAACACACACACACACACACACACACACACACACACTCCCTAATTCGATCAGTACAAAAAGACACCAAGTGCGAGTCTCTGCTTTGCTTTCTCAGTTTGCTCATGTGTCAGTGGTTGTGTAACCTCTTCACGGAGAAAACGATCCTCTGTGTGGGGCTTTGGCCGGACATTTGCTTGTGCGGAACCCGTCAACGTGATAGTCACTCGGGGGAATTCAGGTTCTCCTGGATGGATGCGTTCATTTCCCAGCGGGAAACATTAATGAGCCTTTTGCTGGTGTGGGGACTTCTCGGTGACCCTTCCTCTCGCAGACGCAGCCCGTTTGTCCTGTTGTCCTCCCGGGCTTTGCGGGGCTTACTGCGGATGAGAGTGGTTCCCCTGTTGGGAGCGGGGCGAGATGGCCCCGCTCTCCAGCCCAGATGGTGACGCTTCATGAGGCGAAAGACTGTGGCCCAGCTGTGAATATTTAACAGTGCTGTGATGCCGTCCTTGCCAGATGTCAGCATTAAACAATTCTGATTACACATCCCACAGTTTACATAGTTGGAGAAACAGGAGCATGTGGCATTTAGAGGCAGCGGCCACACTTGTTAGCTTTTCTGGGATTTCCTTTGAAGAGTCTCTCTTGTAGGGCTAAAAATTGTTTATTGGATTTTTCACACAAGTCTTCATCAAAGGCTGAATTTTGATGTTAGATATACAGACATACTGTAAAAGACGGCTTCATATGTTTGACATAACGAACATGAAACAAATGGGCTTTGTCATAATTCAGTTACCGTGCATACATACACATGTATGCCCTCTTGAGATTAAATCTTGTTTTTTTCCTTTGTAATTGCGGTGGAGTTGTGTTCTGAAAAAGGGCAGGTGGTGTGGTTTCCTGATGTGAAAACAGCTCTGTGTGCACAGCTTAGTCCATGCACACAGCAAGGCTGGTCACAAAAATCGACCTGGGCTAGGTAAACCGGTGCATCCTAAACCCGTTATGAGCAGTAACAATTCTCTGGTGCAGCTTCTTTTTCCAGAACCGAATGGAAAGAGGTTGCTTGCTGCGCAGGAATCGGGTCATTTTGGTCACGCATTGGCTCTCGGTTAGCTGTCCACTTGTCATCTTCTCCCACAGTTAAACCTTTTGAGGCCTTTTCTCTCTTTTAGCAGGCAGCTGTGGCTGAGACTATCAGATAAACATCTTGGCTGTAAACGCTGTAATACTACAAGCCCGTGTTCAGGTTTCTGAACGTCTCCTTAAACCAAGGAGTAGTGAGACAAAGAGTGGATAATACAGTGTGTCAAGCAAAGCGTGCAACAGCATAAATCTCTTATCTTATTCTCCTGGGGTGAAGGTAAAATGTATTTGTCTTCATTTTCACAGATGCGGCAAATGAAACGGGAACACTTTTGGGCTTTGGAAGGGTCAATGAGAAGACATGGAACCATTTTAGTAACAGAAATCCATTCATTTCTGAAATGCAGTCAAAGATTAAGCGCCACTTAAAACCTCACACTTTCTCGGATCCTTCGCGCAGCTTCTTAATGGGAACAGATGATCTGGTCATTTATGAACAGGGCGGGAAGTGAGCGAAACAGTCTTCACCTCAGCAGCCACAGTTGGTATGCCCTTGAGCAAGGCAGTAAACCCCAGCTGTCCAGCAGATCTGCTCAGTTCCCAACAGTAAAAATCCCGTCCCAGGTGTGCGCAGCCTTAAAAAAAAGGAAAAAAAAAAGAAAGGTCTGTGGTACCACTGCGATGTGGGGCATAAAAGTGAGCAAGAGCAAGTGTCTCCCTTACAGCCTCCTCCCTCACCTGATGTGTCAAGTTAGTCCAGGAAAAATCTAACTGTGTTCGCTCCGATAGGCTTTATTCTTGGGCCTAACATTTCATTATATGAAATAATTCACTCCTCTGATGTGCGCCCTCAAAGTCTCACAGAGAACAGATGCTGGGACATCTGGAGTCTAGTTAACGGCTATTAAAAAAAGTCAGTTTGATGGGACACAAAGTGCTCACCAGCATACAAGTTCTGAGGCGCCCGGGTGGGCCGTCACCCTGTAATTGTGACGAAAGCCCGATTGGTTGAAACAGCCGTATGCTGTGTGCGCGCCCAGATATCAGGGATTAATCAGTATGGACACACAGATCGTACAAGCCCAATGCAGAGGAGGTCAAGACATCGGCGATGTGAAGCCGAACACTCCTCCATATAAGTCTGAACCGTCCTGACAGACAGATGGAGCAGACGCCCGGTACAGATTAAGTCCAGAGTCACAGGCTTCTACCAAAATAATAAATTCAAGCCTTTCATTGCATTCAATCAGGAATCACTTTGCCAACAAGTGTTGCAACAATATGAAGCGTGATTGGCTGCTGACAGGCTACATTTCCCTTAGGTTGAGCTCCACAGCCTTTTTAGATGACAATCTATGCATACTGTGATTAAATTACCAAAGTTATGGTTTAAAACACATGGCCGAACAGATATCAGCGTCTGGATTGGCTGAGGGAAGGTCCCTCCTTTTGTATGATATTTAAAAAGAAAACACGCTGTCATCGTTGAATCCAGGAGTGTGAATCACAGGAGTATCATGAGCAATCGGCTCTCAGGAGTATGCATGCCGCTGCCGTTAGTAATGCCTGTGCAGCGGTGATGGGCACCCGGCGTGCAACCACAGCCACCAGTCCTCAGTTTCACCTCCTCAACTTTGGAACCTCACATTCCCCAGCACTATTGAGTTTCAATTTTTCTGTGAGAGTCCAAGATCCTGACACGTTGCTAAAGCCCTAGACGTTTAAAAATACTTCCAACTGTAATCTTCCTGGTCATCTTGAAGTGCAAGATAGTTTGTCTGAAAATGAGCGATTGGAGAGAAAAGGTTCAAAGAAATCTTGCAATTGTTAAAATTACACATCCCTTTTAGTCATATCCTCACTGAGCAACAGGGAATCAAACTCACTGTGCACAACAGCAACCCTCCGCTTTGAAGACTTGAAAGCCTTCTAATTAATAGCATTTTCCCTTTGTGTTGAAAAAGAATGTTTTACCCAATAGTTGGCACTTGGCATACATACCGACACGTTGTCATCCTGATTTACTGTAACTCTGCATGCCTTTGAAGGGTATGAAGGCTGTAAATGTTGTAATGAAGTGCAATGAAGCAAACAAGGGTGTAAAACAAAGTTCTCATAGTCGCACAATGGAAGTGTTTGAAAAACAAAGGGGAAAAAGATCTTTGCTGCTTACATACCAGCGTGCCAGTTTGGTAGTAGCCTAGCAGACTGCTTGTTTGTCTTTTGTCGTTTTGCTGGAGCTTAATCTCAGGCCAGAAATTGGCTGTTGAATCATGTTTGGCTGTCAGAACAGACGCAAGTGTAAAGCCATATGGCCGTACATGCACCAAGAATCCTTTGAGTGTTAAATCCTCCCCCACTATATGCCAACAGCTGGAGAGGAGATGTGGAGGCACCTGCACACCAAATGAGGAGCAAACGTCGCTGCTCACAGGAACATCTGGACGGCTGTGCGTCCGTAAACCATTTCAACACATATTCTACCATGCGGCTCGAATTCCCATTCTCACAAGGTCAGACGGGGCTGGCAGCTGGTCAGGGATTCAAACCGTAACTACTTTTAGTTTGCCCCACACTGAACACGGCCATCTGGGGGTGTTTGACATGATTCAGCTTATCCATTACTCTCCAGGGGGTGGGTTTGAGTGAAAAAGGGGGTCTACATCTGAGATGAGGTATAGACTAAATGTTTTATGGTCTGTCAGTGATCTGTTTTAAAGCCACACAGACGGGTACCGGTGGTTAATGCCTTGTCCTATGAAGGTGACAAATGGAAATAGAGGGTGTGTGATCCTCCACGTCACTGGATTGTGACTGGATTTTTTCCCCCTTAATGGGGGAAAAAAAAAAGGAGGATAGAGTGTGTGTGTGTCTGTAACTTGGGTGAGTTTCAGCGTGGTCGTTGTTTCTTTTGAGATTCCAGCTATCCAAACATGGGAGCGGAGCGATTCTGCTATTATTTCTGCTGTTATTTATGACGATGCTCTGGAGCATGACCCAAAAACGATCCGGTTTTATTGCAAGGCCTGACGGCAGAGAGGCTTTGGGTGGTCTCATTGTGTTTTTAATGTCAGGTTTCTTTGTCTGTCAGACTCTCAGAGTCCTCCAAAGATGTGATGTGACTATCTATTTCTCTCTATTTGAACCATTTGTGTTTGAAAGCCTGAACCCTGAGCGTGCAGCTTTTGGCTGTCACTGCGGTGGCGTCTTGACTGTTTTAGTCGGGGCAGCGCTGTCCTACAGCGGGGCTTCGTGTGAATTTAGGTCACATAAGAACAGAGGCTTGTGGTTTGTCCCACCACTCACTCGCCCGTGGGAACACCCACCAGCTGTAGCATAGCTCTTCCTGTATTTAGGGATGAGTTTAAATCAGCCATATCAGATCCTTTTCTTTGCCATTTTTTTTAGCTTATTCATGCCACTACTGAATAGGGCTGGGACCAGGTGCCCCATGAATGGGCATTGATCTCAGATTAACTGCAGTTCATGTCCTCCTTTTGTTTAAGAAGGTGAATTTTAGAGCAGTCGTGGCCAGGTGACTGTCTCAAAGACAGACAAAAGTGACTTGGGTTACAGGATAACTTACAGTTCCAATGGGACAGACAATGACTCGGCCACAAATAAATGTGCTGGCTGACTTGTTTTCAAATAACCCAAGTTGTCTCAATGAAAACATTATACGCAAAGAATAAAATAACCACTTGGAATGTCGAGTTTCTGCTCAAAGAAAATAAAACACATGTATCATTCATTCATTTTGTTCACAGAATCCATCTCAGGTGGCCCTGCTGGTGTTTATATTCACAGCTCTTCAGTTTGAAGCGGTGACACGCCTGGATTTTGTGTAACTTTCCACGTGTAACATTTTCTTTGTGTCTCCTTAGGGAAAGTTATTGTACAGAATTAGCGACTTCCGCGCCACAGAGGACAACAGGGGCATAACTCAGCGAGCGAAAAGGAGCCCGGGCAAGGAGCCAGAAACAGGTGCGGGGTTTACATTATTTACCTGTCATCTCCTCCCTGATCCTCCACCTTGGAGAGCTTTTGAGCTGACGCAGGGTTTGTTACTCTTCATATTTCAAGCTCCAAATTCAGGAAGTTTAATGAGAGGAGGGTGTGCACCTGTACTGGTCTGTGTGCCGGGCCTGATAAAGGCCGGGTCAGGAGGCGCCCAGGGGTCATTTGGAAGGTCTATCACTACAGGGGGATAAGTCTTAAAGCTTCTAAAAACCAAAAGACTCTTCATCGTTTACCGATTTCTTTTTTAAGTCTTTTTTTACTTGGCCTTTTTTTACAGCTTTGTAGCAGTTTAACAAAGCAAATCCACCACATAATTTAGTCTGGTTTATATGGCAAGAGAGCAAACTGAATGGGATTGATTATTCCTTGGACAGCAGGCGAAGACAAGAAAGGGTCTGTGAGGGTTGCACCAGTTTTCAACCGACCGTGAAGCCCTGCTGATTTCCTTTTGTCTTAAAGTAATATTGGGACTCCCAACTATCTTTTCTTCCTGTCAGCGAAGCAGTTTAAAATCCAGCTGTGTTACCAATTGGGTCCGTCCCATCAGAACACCAGAGAGAAAGAATCTCTTTGTGTGCCTTTAGAGAGGTGGCCATTTCTGAAACCGGCTCTCATCTGCGACATTGATGGCTTTCATTAATTCTGCCAAATTGATTTGTGTTAATCAATAGCTCCACTGACAACCACATGCCCAATATGTCTGAAATAGCTTTTGTAGTTTTTGTTTAGAATCTGAGCTATGCAAAACAAAAAGAAAGAAGAGAAAAGCCTTTGAAGTTTCATGTCTGAGTGCAACAAGTGCACCATGATCACAAGGCATTCCAATGTCTGTGGCGTGACACAGAATACTTGAGGTGGGGTGGGGCATGGGGGGAAGTTTAGTGATTGTTTTTAAATTAGAAGAAAAAACTCACCTTTGAGACTTTCTACATAAATCAGTAAAGTCCCGAGCCTCTAAACACTAATCATTCCCAGGTCTCCCTGCTCTCAGCACACAGACAAAGGCTTTTGTAATCTCAGCCTTAGATGTGTGCTTGTGTGAGTGTGTGTGTGTGTGTGTCCTGTGTTTGCACATGTGTGTGTGCGTATGTGTGCGCTCTCAGCTCTCCTAACGGGCACCAGATTCCAGATAGGGCTGCTCGTTAAGAGAAATCTATGCGGATGCATCCAGTCATTTAGCCAGAGGAGAAAAACTGGCCATATGTTTGAGGGGGACTCAAACTGTGAGGTTTTAAGGTTAAATAGCCTTTGTAGTTATAATGGCATGGTAAACACAAGCGAGACGGCTTTTTGAAAAGGATTCATCAGCTGCACACTAAACATGTAAACACACATGCACGATGCACACAGAGCGCATTTTGTCTTTCAAGCAGTGACATGGATGCTCCACCAACATTCACGCATGCACACCCACACACATCGCTATAAAGGGGAGACACACATGCACACACTTTCATCTGCATTCTCCATCTGGGCTTAATTCAAAGAAAAGGATTTTGGCAGGATAAAGTATCTCTCTAATGATCTTCTCCAGTTCCACTGCCTGTGAATGCTTAAGGCACTTGTTCATACAGAGGAGGTGAAACCACACTTACAAATTACTACACTACAAGATACCACAGACTGACATACCTCCACTCCAGTGTTCAACACACAGCATCCCAATCTGTTACCTCAGCCGATTTAGGAAGCCTACAAGGAATGAGCAGGATCCTCGAGATATTATCTGAGATGATAGCTGTTCAGGGGACCATTTCAGGTGTAATCATCTCATTTTTGTTCATTTCAGAGTCGACTGGAAAGGAGAAAAGAAAAGACAAGAAAAAAGGTATTGTTCCCCTTTTATTTTGGCCATAAGTTGAAGAAAATGGAATCAGGCCATTAGAGATTTTGATTATTGTGAATGAAACATTTATATATGCCCGTGCCTTCCTCTACATCACGTACTCTAAAGCCCGGTCAGGCAAACTACCTATTTTTGGTTTTAACGTACTAAAAGTGATCCCATTTTCATTCATCCCACTTTCTACTGTAGGCAAGAAGAAGTCTGTGCCAGGACCCCCTGGTCCCCCGGGTCCTCCGGGTCCACAGGGGCCACCGGGTATCCCAGGAATCCCCGGAATACCTGGAAGCAACGTTGTGGGACCTGCGGGTCCCCCAGGGCCGCCTGGGCCACAGGGACCACCAGGCGCCCAGGGTCCGGCAGGTACAAAACCTTCAAACAGAATCAACTTAAATAACATAGGATCCAGCCAGAGAGAAAGAATATAAACGCAGAGATCTTTTTCTTGGATTACGGTGTTTCCCTGCATGTAGAAGCTTTCCCACACTAGGAGGGGCGCAAGTTGTCAGAATTGATTAACTCATTGCCTGCACAGTGAGGGTGTCTTATTCAGGATGTCAAACATTGTGAAGAAAGGCAATGAGTTATTTTCATACTATGTCAGTGTTTGTTTTGTCTGATCACGTCACTCCTTTGTTCCTCTGTAGCTCTCAACAGCTAAATTTGATCGTTTTTTCTCTCGTTGTTGCAGGGGTTTCCGAAAGGACCAAAGCAAAGGAATTCCAGGTATGTCACATTTTTCTTTCTTTCTTTTAACAATATCAAATCATACACGAAGTTCCTGATAAAAGGGGGAATTAAATTAGTCACCGGTTATCTTTTCTCCTCCAGCCTGCTGTGGTTCATTTACAAGGACAGGAAACGACAATCCAAGTGAGAGAAGGTGGGTTCTCTGCTCATGTTCATCCAGAGATACACTCCTGTGTTTGACACAGAGCAATAAGCAGGAATTATCCCTGTCAGTGTCGTTTTTTCAAACACCCAAGTCTGGAAGTATACCAGCAGACATGCCTGCCAAACATCAGAATACAAGAAACTATATCCATTCACCTAAGAGTGTTTACATGCCAATGATGGTGTACTCCAGGGCTACGGTTAGCCACTTTTTAAGATATGCTGCTCTTCACGTGGTAATCTGCATGGAAAATTAATACAAACGCACTTTGTTTTGTTTTTGTTTTCCAAGTGAGGGGTTCTTTCCAATATTTACAGTTTCCGAACAGTAATCCAACAGCTAATACATGTTAAGTAACCAGATCTAAGCCTGCGTTAAAATACCCGTTTCCTCAGCTCAGGAGGAAATGCCTTGCATGCTAGCCGATTATGCCGCATCACTTTGTCTAAAAGGAGTGTAAGCATCATTAGCAGGTTTATATTTTGTCAGCGCCGAGCTCTGGCTTTGGTTAAACACTGCTGAAGGCTGTTTATGTTGACCGTTTGCCTCTTTGTGTGTTTGTTGTTACATGTTTAGATCTGTCTCAAGGGGTCCTTAGGAACTGGAAGATGGTGTCTATCCATCAACGTGTGTTCAAAATGCACTCGCGCACAGGGCAGCTGGAGGTGCTGCTGGATGGGGTCTACTTCATATATAGTCAGGTAGAAGTGAGTACGGTCCTTGACGTAACTCCTTTCATTTACAGTTCACAAAAGAATTGGCAGTAGAGTTTAAAGTGTGACTGCTTTGTTGATGCCTGGGTTATACAGTACTTTGCAACAGTCTGGAACCACCAGTCACTTCTTTATATTGTACTTCCAAGGCTTTCATGTCAGTCTTTTAAAGTGGTTTTGAGCAGTAGTTCTCAAAGCTTTCCGAAAGCTTTTCAACGTATTTTTTTGTTCAATATTCTTTGATTTAAAGTCCAGTTCAATTTTTTAAAATAAAAACACACCCCACTCAAGTAATGAAAGTGTTGTGTACATATTAGTGAAAACGTGGTAAACACCCTGTTTTAAATTGGATATTTTTGCACATTATTACTAGTAGCTTTCAACAGTGACACCTAGTTTGTTCACATTTGTTAGGTTGCCTCTCAGAGGTGCATACAGATATACAAATACTGTTTATACACAAACGTAAAAACTGGACATATCTCATCATGTTGTATAATGTGTCCTCAAAAGAAAATAAGGAAAGTGGACCAATGGAGGACAGAGAAAGTGGTACTGGGCTTGATACAGTTTAAAAGTGTGCTTTTAAACTGTATCTGAATTAGCATTATAAAGTATCCAACATAGATCTGGCGCAGGGTTTGAGAGTTGATTGAAGCCTCATCACATCGTGAAAGGGTGAGAAGATGCAACTCTTAAAGAAGACAAACATATAAGAATATAGGAAGTAGACTGAAAGTCAGTGGCAACAGATCCTATGGAGTGATGAAAGTACTAAAGCAGCATCAAAACGGGAAAAAAAACATTAAAAATCTCTTCTTAGAAGACTCAGTCTTTCTTTAAGAATACAGTTGTTCACTGACTTTTCATGCTTCTTTTGTTGTTGTTACAAACTCTTGCCTCATGTAAAGTGTTGACATTTATGTTGGCACTTACATCAATAATTCACTTAATCTTTTTCTTGTTGTTTTTTTTCCTGGCAACATTTTAAAGAAGTTTCTGGATGGTTCAAGACTTCTAGCACTGTATTGCATGACAGGACAGACTTGTTTTTTCCCTGCATGTGAAGCTCAGTAACTCACACTCTCAGTCTCATACTGCAGCTGTTTAAACGTAAATCAAGCCTTTAAATGATTATGTGGACTTGTTTTGACTACCCTTCTCAGTCTCGTGTTAATTTTATGCTCCCTCTGAAAAAAAGGTGTACTATCTGAACTTCACGGACATCGCCAGCTATGACGTGATGGTGGACTCCAACCCCTTCCTTCGCTGCACCTGCAGCATCGAGACGGGCCAGCGCAAGTTCAACACCTGCTACACGGCAGGGGTGAGCCCGCTCCGCGCCGGCCAAAGGATCTCGATACGCATCGCGCACGAATACACGCTCATTAACATGACCAACCACACCACCTTCCTGGGAAGTGTCAGGCTCGGAGAGGCTCCATCTGCTGGACAGAACGGATAACTACACCACCACCACCCCCTGTGCATGAACGGGAACGTTGCTTGGAGGATTAGTCTGGCCGTTTTTTCATCCTGCCTGATGTAGGATTGATACATTGATTAGAAGCAGCCCGTTGCCCGTGTTTTGCCCTTGTCTAGAGGACACTGGGCTCTTACGGTTGAGGAAGCCCCTGGGGGACTGATGTATTAAAAGGGACAATTAAAGCCACCAATACTTCCGTTGACTATGAATCTGCGCAGAAATATAGGCCTCGATGAACCACATGTCCTCAAACACAGCTTTCTATTTATAGCCATCCTTTTTGTGTCGACACACACAGCATATTTCTTTATAACAAGGAAGGACACAGTACTGATACTAAGTAATTACATCTTTTCAAGTGCTGTTGAATGATAATCATTTATCTCCAAAATCACCAGCCATTTGAAATGTTTTATTTAACTGTTTAAAGTAAATGGTTTACCAAGGGACTTAAAAATCCTTAAGGCAGATGTAAGAAGCCATAGAAATGCATTAAAACTGGAGCTAGAAGGCATTCACATAGCAACAGCACTATATATTTTGCACACATTTGCACTACAGCATTCCTGCAGAATACCAGTGACATGTTTGTTCCAGTGCTATTGTTTAGTTATCTTATGACTGAATTCATGGAGAATAGCAACAGTTGTTAATACATGTCTGTACATACTGTATATAAAATGGGATATACTTTTGTAAATGCAGTTGATTGATGTATTAAAATGTTTCCATTTTCTGCCTAAATGCATTTGTCTGTCTTTTGTGCGTGTGCAGCCGGTGGTATTCATTTACGAGCTTCCAGTCTTTCTTTGATAGAGGCCAAAGCTGGCACGAGCACTGACAAGAACAAATGACGTTGTGAGAGCAAAGCCTTTGTCTTTATTAAAATGTGGCTTTTACATTAACGGCAAGTTTAACCATGCGCTCCAGTCTAAGCTGTAATTTTAAGCAGCCAAAATGAGTTCCATCTTGAGAGACACAGAGAGGATAGTTCCTCATTTAGAAACCAAATTTGAAACTGTAGGTTTCCGGCGTCTACTGATGCGTGACCTCACCCATTTGAGTAACTTGGGGAGTCTGTCGAATCTCACTATGTTTTATAATGCTTTATTATCAGTAACGGCATTTATGTTTTGTCTTAGCCTTTTCCTGGTGCACAGAGCCAGTGTTTTACAAAGTGATTTTCGCAAACTCCAAGGGGACATAATTCTACAATTAAATCAGCAACGTTCTGAGGGAGTCAGTGGGAAAATGGCCAGGATGTCTAAAACAAGGGAGGTATGTCAATGATTACGCAGGATGGAGTCATCTTGGACATAGTACTACTGAGATTTATGCCATTAGTGAATGTTCAGATAGTGCTGCAATAATAAATTTTATCTTAATTCTTTGTTTTCTCTCAGGACATGAAGCCAAGTGTTTTCCAAAGAGCTCAGAGTTCTCTGAAGATCTCTTCTAGGAGAGTAAAAAGGGAACAGAGCAGCTGCAGACGTGGGTTGGAATTGAGAACTGAAAATGTGTTCATTAGTTACGGTCTGATCTGGTAGTGAGACCATAAACAGTGTACGGTATGTTAATAAAATTAAAGTATGATTCTTATTTCCTTCTCTTGCCAGCTCCAACATCATTCCTACAGTTAAGAGCTAATACTAACAAACAACCAGACAGAAGAGGTAAAACTAAATTCAACTTTTTTGGCTTCAGCTTTGCACCGGCTGCCATTATTTTGAATTAGTGTGTCTTGCCTTTTCCCCAAAGGAAATATAACAGTGATCCCCTGGACTGTTTCTGTGCAGCGAGGAAATGCAATTTCACAAAGGGAAAACAGGATTGTTGTCCAAGAAGATGGTTATTACTTGGTGTTTGGACAAGTATTGTATCACTCTAAATCAACCATAGCTAAGTTGATATTGCGTACGATTTGTTCCAACTATTCAGCTAATGTTCTGCTTAATTCACAGGTTTTGTTTGAAAGTCCAAGCACGGTTATGGGTTATGTCATCCGAAGTTGGAGCTCCACTAAAGCAGGGAAGACATCCGAGCTCTTGCGCTGCCTGCAGCAGATGCCTGTTGAAGCTCTGCACAGCAATACGTGCTACACAGCAGGTCAGTGAGACAGATGCTGCTGGATTTGTGTTGCCTTTGAACAGAGCCAGAATGGAAGGTTGTGCCCCCGTTGCTGCTGTGCAGGCATGAGAGAGCCATCAGCCGCCTGATGGAATAAAAGGTTACTTCCAAAAACAGAGGCCTTAAACCTGAGCAGCTCTGTTTATCCATTTGAATTATCTCCCTTTTCATTATGATGCTGAACACATCACTGATGTGACAAAATATATTTGTACAACAGTTACAGATATGTGTGGCAAAGATGGAGCTACAGCATGGTTTATTTGAGTGTGGAAAGCATTGTGGGGTTTTTTAGGTTGTACCCCACATCTCACCCAGAGTACTCTTATTTTTTCTTTTTTACAGGCGCTGCGCAGCTACTTCAGGGTGATGAGCTGGAACTTGTGATTCCGTTTGGGCCAAATACCCTGATCTCTATGGAGGACGACTCAACCTTTTTTGGTGTCATACAGCTAAACTGACACAAGTGCGAAGATGATAAGTGTCCACTTCATTGTGGCAGGAAGTGGGAAAGGCAGGAGACGCTGATAGAGGACTGACTGGCTGACAGCTGCAGGAAAACTGTTAGCACCCGCTGTTGATCTCAGGAAAATAGATCATTGGCTTTTTAAACGAACTGCCGTTTTTCTGCTTTATTAAAAAGCGGATAGTTTCTCTGTCCTGCCCTCTGTGGTTGCTATTGTGTGTCTCCATGTTTTTTCATCAGTCTATTTTCACATCTCTAGAGTCCCTGTCACTCCAGGGGCTTCCCTCCTGTTCCACCTACGCATTGTCTGTTTATTTGTTCCTCTCATGTATTTTAGAATGGTTTCCACTCTCCAAAGACTGTCAGGAACAAACAAGCGTGTATATTTACTTCGCTCCAAATAGGTTTTCCTGGTTAATATCAAACTTTATGTTACTGTTAGTGTAAAGTTATGTGAGTAATACACAAAAATAAAGAATTTCCAATGGCATTTGCTCATTTTATTGTAATGTATGCATTTCTGTAACTTGCCAAGCGCAGCACAGACATCATTTTTGTTTTTTTTATGTGTGACATTCTCCCCCACATACAAATGAGATAGCTGTACATTTTCTAAATCAACACCATCTTGGCTAAATATAGTATCCACAATGCCTATCTGGTCTACACAGCTGTCCACCCCCCCACTTTTTGTTTTTTTTCTTAAATCCAGCATGGCTATAAGAGGTAGTGTGTGAGGTTGTACATGAGCTCTGACAAAGGCAGTGTTACAGTCTCGCAGCAGCAGCAGAGGGACAATGGTCAGACACATGTTCTCTAATCTTCTACTACTCTGGTCACTCAGCTATGATATTTATATAACTGGGGGAAGATGTTACACAGCAAAGGTAGGTTCAAGACTTCAGAAAGCCACAACAAGCTATTAAGTTAATCTGCAGCCAACTTGGTTTTGAGATTTGAGTAACTTCCAAGTTTTTTTGTTTTTTTTTTTGTCTTAAATTATGATTAATGCTTGTTTCATTTCAAGCAGGAGTCCTGGAACAACCGGAACCTCACCTCTGTCCCTCAGGATCTGAATGCAAGACTCAGAAGGCTTGACCTGTCCAATAATTTCATCAGAAAATTACACACACTTGCTTTGCCATACTTGGAGCAGCTGGACCTGAGCAACAACCAGCTGGATTTCATCTTTGAGGGGGCTTTTGAAAACTTGGCTCGACTTGAACACTTGAATTTGTCCAGAAATGGACTAAATATCAATCCTGGCATTAATTGTAAAGCCTTCCAGTCTCTCAACAGGCTGAAGAGTTTGGACATATCAATGAATGGTTTGAGCTCTGACGCAGTGGAGCTTTACCTCAGAGACAAGCCTTCTCTTGATCAACTGAAGATGACCGGTAACTCTTTAACCCGACTTTCACGCTACTCGTTCAGAGGGAGCAACAGTTTGAGGACCCTCATCGTAGATGACAATCTGATATCAGAGATAGCCCCAGGGACATTTGAACAATTGAGCCAATTAGAAACACTTTGTTTGGCAAAGAATAATCTTGTACATATCTGTGATTTCAACCTACACCAGGTTAGATATTTAAATCTCAGCTGGAATTCATTGGAGTTCTTTGTCACACATGAAAATGACCAGTTGTATCATCTTGAAATTCTTGATCTGAGCTACAACAAGCTTCTTTTCTTCCCAATTGTTCCAAAACTGAACAAACTGAGGTCTCTTTATTTACAGAATAATATGCTCGGTACATTGCATTCAGAGGCTGCCATGGTATCAGAGGCCAACTCACTCTATGGTGAGATAGTAAGTGAGAAAGTGGGTATGAAAAATAGCCTCCATGCAATCTGGAGGCTAATGCCGCTGGTGTACATTGACCTGAGCTATAACCACTTCACATCTTTGCCTCTTGAGACTTTGAGTCTTCTTTCATCTTTAGAAACACTAAATTTCAGCTACAACTGTCTGCAAAGCATCAGTTGGAACATTCGAAATTACAGTGATTCAGGAGACATTCGCCAGCTCATTTTCCACTCCTTAAAGAACCTCAACCTTCAAAGTAACGGTCTTGTGTATATATCACCGCTTTTTTTCGATGCACTAAGACAAATAGAAACATTGAATCTGCAAGACAATTCAGTTCAACCTTGTGCCTTCTCTGACAGCAAGCAAATTAATCCCAACACATTCTGTGCCACATTAGGGCAGCTAAGGACTCTTAAACACCTCAATTTAAGGGAAAATCATATAAAAAGACTTGAGCCAAACACATTTCTAAGAACCTCTTTGGTTTCACTAAACCTTGCAAAAAATCAGCATATGGTAATGCATGAAAGGGCACTACAGGGTGTGCAAACAACTCTTCAGTCCTTGATTATCAGCGAGATAAACATGAGCAGCTCCCATCCATCTTTACCCTGTATGCCAGTGCTAACCAACCTGAACATGTCAAACAACCATCTTAGCAAGATTCCCAGCAGTTTAGGTTGCTCTCCCCTCAGAGAAATTGACATAAGACACAATGACTTTAGGACTTTAAACAATTCTTTGATTAACACCTTATCCAAACATCTCAGTTCGATCTTTATTAGTGGCAATCACTTCAACTGCTGTGACAGTGGGTGGCTCACTGTCTTGCGTGAGATGAAAATTAGACTGCCAGACATGAGTGAGGCCGAGTGCTTCACACGTGTTAGAAACTTGACGATGACAGAATATCTGAAAAGCCCTTTATCATATTGTTTTTTCCATAAACAGGCGCAGGAAGTTAATTTTGGACAAATGATTGTGGTTGTTGTATTTATAACTGTATTATCAACAGTGCTCATTGTGTTCAGCAGGAAGCTGTGCTGCACACAAGGATCTTTCATGGTGTGACACATAAAACATGTTGTTATTCAGCTTAATCTTTCCAATCAAGTGCTTACGAGTTATGTCCTAAGTGACAAAACCATTCAGACTCAGTGTGGGACTTAACAGAAATGTGGCTTTGTGGTTTTAAAAAAAAAAATCTAATTTATCAAATGCAGTAAAGACTTCATGTGGAATTTGACTCATATTTCAGCCTTCACTCAACTTCAAATTCTCTTTAACGACTCCACCACACATCTGTTGGAGGTGCTTCAGTTTGCGTGACCTGCACAGTTTAAGTGTTGTGATTGAAATTGGCATTATTGACTCCCAAGGTGCTTGGAAATAGTGAGCGCCAAATCAATGGTCAGACGGAGAACTCCAGCCTGTCTTCCTTTGTGAAATGTTTGTTTGCAGCTAAACATTTAACTTTGGTTTAAATTCTGATGATTCCTGCAAAGCCTTACACAATATTCCCAGAAACAGGAATGAAATAGTGCAACAAAATGCAAAGAAAAATGCTTTCAAAGTGGTACTAAAAAATGAAGATGTTATATACATTTTTTAATAGAAAGTTCACAGTCTTCCCATGAGATCCTCTTCTATCACCACATGAATCTGATTTTTGTAATATACCTTGATTTGTCTCTGGGATATGTTTTCTTGTTATAGTCATGCAGTAGATAATAAACATGCTGTACCTAATAACCATAATATGTTGGCAGCCTTCATTTAAAAGGTTTTACTCCCCCATTTCAGTGACGGCAAAATAAATCAGTGGAACGGATCCCTTTTCTATGAATTTCTAGTTTTAGTTGAGCAACCTAGCTTCCGCCAAGTTATGAAATACACAAAGCAAGGCTTCTGTCACTCAATGGGACTGAGTTGTCATCCAGTTCATTAGGCTGAATTTTGAACCAATACAAAATAAAATGTTTAATGAGGCAAACAATCATTAAAGTCAAGTTAGGCTGTCAATATGTCAATAAACTTTTAATTTGATACTACACTTATGGTATAAGTTAAGCGACATGCTGCATTGGGAAAATTGATGTGAAATTATATAAAAAACCCTCAACATTTTAATGACTGTGCACTGCAGCAAAGCAGCTGTTGCAAGATATCCGGTTAAGCAATCCTCTTATTGGCACTGCTTCTTTAAACTGGAGTACAAAGTAATCTTTTGCAATTCATGTGTGGATCACAACTACGTCCCCTGAAGAGAGTCAGGTCAGTGATGCCAGCATTAGAGAAAGCAGAGTGCTCGTTTGGCTCTTGAGCAATATAACGGTAGGAAATGTCTTTGTTGCCCCACCCTGCTAGATTTGGGTACTAGATCAAGTAGCAGCTTGACAAGTTCAAGCAAAGAGCATTCAAAGAATAGAACACTGTGTAGATGCTAGGTGTGAAACCATAGGAATGCCAGAGGTAAATCATATTCATTCTTCAACGTGGTAGTTATTACCAGGTGGCATCAAGACAATGCCAGCAACTTATTCAACACGCACAATACTGCAAGAACTGAAAGCTTGCATCAGCTCCTGTACTCTATGAAGCTATGTAATGACAACAAATACTTTCATACATGTATAGAAAAGTTTTAACTGTATTATGTATAGACACAATTCAGAGAAAACTTAGCTCTGACCTAAGATAATGTGACCAAAGGTTATAGATCCTGGTCATCCTTCTCGTGAATATGTCAGGCTACATCCTTTGTTTCCATTAAGTCTCCAGCCTATTTTCTTTACATCAAAAAAACTGCTACATAGTATGATTTTTAAAAAAAGGAGATGTAGTGAAAAAATGGATTTAAGCCTCAGCAACACAAATCCAGACATTATTCTTTGAAAAACAATATCTTCCTTTAGACTAGAATGCAAAAATTCCCACAAACCCCTAAATGGAACATGCCAGGTCCACCAGGTGGTGGTAATGTCCAAAGAGATGACAAATAAAAATGCTGAACTTTTAAGCAAAACTAGATGAGCTGATTCTCCTTTGGCAGCAATGCCTAACAGCCCTTTCAGACCACATAAGCTGTTGCTTAATGTGGCAAGGAAACCTAGAGGGAAAAACACTAACTTTTCTAATGCCTGCTTTATACACCAGAAAACCATTGTAGAAAAGTACACTACAACAACACATTGCAAACTTCTGCAAATCTCAGTTTTCCTCAATAACAACCTTGTTTGCACACTAATAAGAGATAATTAACAAGATAATAAAAAAATGTTGTTTTAAACATTTGTCACTATGCACTGAACTTCCAACTTGAACTTGACCAAAATCCCAATTTCATTTGTAGACAAAAAGACAATTAAATAGTGACCAGAACCAAACAAATTTGCACCAAAATAAAACAAACAACAAAGCAGAAAAAATTAATAACCAGCATCTTACCTTCTAAGTGAAATTTGACTTGGCAGCTGACGTTTGAGCATTCAGTTTCCACTTACAAAGATGTCAGCACCATCTCCCCTGCTCCATTTCCCTTCACCTCCAGATGTGTGGTCAGTACAGAGTGCTGAATAGAAAAATAAATTAATTAGCACATAGGCCCTTGTAACCCTTATCATAGGCTAAAAGGTAACTGGACTGCGATGAAATCTGATCCCTTTTTTGGCCAGTTCATTGACGTAAAATGTCTTTATTCACTGGATTAAGGGGTTAAATGTAATTAGAGGCTTAAACTAGTTTATCCTAAAAGCAAAAACAACGTATGCGCACAATTAACACTTGCTTGGTACAATCAGGACTACAATATGACGTCTCTTACTTCCTGATATGTAAATAAGTGTATTTGACATGTGATATTAATTTGAAGTGCATGTGACTAATTACCCCCTTTGGCTCACGAATTTACCTGGTCATATTAAACCAAAATACTTGGTCAACCTAAATACTTGGCCATACAAAAAAAAAATTGAAGCAAGTTCAAATTTGTTCACTTTAAACTGCTCAGAAAACAAAACAAAAAAACAATTCATTTTCAACATGGTGGGGACAGATTTTAACATTTCCAACGACCGCCTTTGGCTGGAAGTGTGAACACGACTATTAATCCTCTGACAGTTTAAGCTCGTCTTGAATAAGGAAAGAGCTAAATCAAAAAGAAAAGAAAGACTTACGTCATTGCATCTGCTGTAAAAGCACGAACTCAGAGGCACGTAAAAAACAGATTGTTATTATGCTAATTAGCTCCCTAGCTAATTTTAAATAGCAGATAGGCACTTACAGGAGAGCACCCGGGCGGCAGACACATCATGACTACTCAGCAAATAGACGACCTCCACACGCAGCAACCCACCAGGATAACTCAGAAAGTGCAGTTAACTTATAAGTTATTTTTGTTGGAAAAGGCCCGAAACACGCTCGAAGAGGAACTTCGCAACTTCACAAACAAGGTAAAATTCACACCGGCTGTATTCATTAGGGACAGCGTCAGGCCACAGGCTAACATGCTAGCTTGCACCTAGTTAACCTTTATAACATTTTTAATTATTTTTTAGCCCTGTTTCACTATAATTATCATATTTTTAAATACTACATAATTGCTGAATGTCATCATTTTTATCCAAATGGAGTATTTGGATTTATATATGTGTATGTTTGTGATTGTGTGTTCACTAGTTAGTTTTAGCAGACTTGCTATTTCAGTAGTTAACTGCATATCAGCTCAAAGATATCGTTCAGTTAGTATGCATTAAGTATGAAATTGAAAAAAAAAAACATTTCAATTGCATGAACCATGTTAATATTTGTTTTTTTGTTTGTTTGTTTTTTGTTTTGTTCCCATTTAGTTAACTTACCAAACTTTCTTGATTAGTATTCTGTCATCTTAAGAATATAGTATTTCTGAATAAAATATCTCATTCACGTTTTCTTCTTTCTCTTGTCTTTCAGGCTTATGAAGAGATCCAAAGTTTCCTGAATTCATCTTCTCCTACTAGTTTGTTCAGGGATATTGGGAAAGCTATAGATGCCAAGCATCAAAAGGTTTTGAAGCTTTCAACCCTGTTAAAGGACCTCTCTGTCGGTAATTATAAAGTTTTAGATTCTGATTTAACAGTAAATGTAAAGGATAAAACTGCCATACTTTTTAAAATGGACCCGAAAGAGGACATTTATAAGAGATTTAGCTAAATACATCTGGATGCAAATCGAAATAATAAATCTTGTCTTCTCACCATCCTTGTTTCTACAGAATCTGCTGTCAGTAATGGGGTGAGAAAAAGTTGTCTGGAGCCACACAGAGCCCAAGGGAGCTTGATGACACAGACTTTGAAGTTCGGACCAATGTTGCAAAATTCACTCATTGCAAGCTCCATGGCAAAGTCAGTCCAGGTTCTGTCCCAACAGCAACTAAAGCTTTTCCACAGCCTCCAACCTCCAGGAATGCAGCGGGATGACATGCTGGGTGGCATCTCACCCAGCTTCAACAGCACCCCTCGGAATAAAAGCTCTGTCTGTCATTTAAATGCAGAACAGGTTGCATTTGAAGAGGGAAGCCAACCTAATTCTGTGTGCATACCGCTTGTCATTTCACAGACCCATAAGGTTGATAACGAAAAGCCACAAATACTTCTACCTCCTATACAACCTGTATACCCAGAGATCAGAAACCCTAAACCCCTACTTATCTGGGGATGCAGTGATGATCAAGTACAACACCAAAAGCAAACCTCCTCACAGCTGCTGCACTTTCTCAAAGGGAAAGCTACAAACAAGGGTGCACTCGAAGCAGAATGGGCGAACAGTAAACACGAAGCGTGCAATCCAGGATTGCCAAGGCAGATCTCACCGCCTGTCAAAACACAAAGCAGAGATGTTATGACGGATAATCTGATAAATGCCCGAGCTTCCAAAAGATTGCACGCAAATGGTGAAAGCCAATCTCCAGTTTTCAGAGTGAAACAGGTCAAGTCGAGCAGATCTTTGATTTACACGTGTGTGATTGCAACGGAAACCGAGCTGTGGGATATTGGAGACATCTCGACAGAGGCGAGGGAGGATTCGCTTCAAATTCCTTTGAAGGCTGAGGTCTGCCAAAATGGACTTGCTTTGATAGAAAATTCGTGTAGAAACCTTTATCAGAAAACCCAAATCCTGCAAAGCACAGAACCTGAACCAGAGAACAGGCCTGACAATTCAGAAATGCTAATGCACAAGAGTGTAAACATCCCTGAGTTCCAGATCCGGAGGTTTGAGGAGACTGAAGTCGTGGTGTCTCATATTGTTAGCCCCGGCAACTTCTACATCCAGCACGCTAACTCCCTTGAGAAGCTGCAGGTGTTTGGCACACGGTAAGTCAATCAGTCTGCATTAAGTCTGCTGTTTTCCTTGTTTGTTTTATTACCCCCACATAATTTGTTGCGTGATAACATTTAATGAGTTGAAATTAGCAGTCCATTTAATTCATAACTGCTTTCTTTGATTTTCTTGACTCATAATTATTTTTTCCCGTAGCTTTGAAGCCACTCGTTCAGATGCTGATCAGAACTGTATCCCAGACATTGGGACCCAAGTCATTTGTTGGTTTCCTCAGAATGAACAGTGGTGCAGATCCCAGGTGATGAAAATATGTGGCGTGAGCACAGGTGGGTCCAGTTAAATGTGGGCAGATTTCAGAGGCATGCCTCTAGATGGTAGCAGTGTCACTCTTCCTGACTGTGACCAATGTGAAACCTCATTCTGACTTGCTATGTCTGTTTTGATTCAAGATAACAAGGCTGAGGATGGTTCTGAGAGTGATTCCTCCATCAAGGTGGAGGTGAAAAGGCTGGACTACGGTGACACCTTCTGTGTGTCAATCCGTAATATAAAGGAGTTCCCCCCAGAAATGGCTGTTGTGCCGCTTCAGGCCTTACAGGTTTCACTAGCAAATGTGAGTTCATCCCTACTTTCATTGTAATTGTAGTATTGCCTTCCACATTCCCGTTAACTGCAACGGAGATCACTCATCAGTGAGTGTAGAATAGATTTTCGGAGATCGACATGTTGTGCCTACATGGACATGGTGTAAATGTGCGACATGGTATAAATGAATGTGGCTGTCGGCTGTTGCCCACTTGATTAGTCACACTTTTATCAATTGCTTTGTGATGAAGGAAATTCATTATCTCACTTCATGGTAATTTGTGCCTGTTTCCTCCCCCCCAGGTAAGGCCTATTGATGGGAGACTGTGGTCTGAGCAGGCAGTCAGTTGGTTCAAAGAAATGGTGCACAACAGGACGCTCTATGCAAGACTTTACCCACAGGGACCCACAGTTTCAGTGGAGCTGTTCCTGGAAAAGGGGAAGCTAGGTGCTATGAGGTAACTTCAGGGATACCAAAATGTATGTCCCCAGGATTTGATCAGTCATCCTCATAGTCTCCATTTTTAGCAAGAATGCTATTTTGTTGTGTTAAAGTTATTTATTTTTTTAACCAAAGAATGAAGCATGTTAACTGCATATACAGTCATTTCCAAAATCTACCCAAACCTTTATTTTTAGGAGGGGTGCATCGCTGTCTCTGAGACTGGCTCAAAATGGACACGCAAGACATGACAAACTGAAGACTGCTGGTCTCATTAAACGAAGTGAGTAGAACCATATATTTTTCTGTTAAATTCCCAGAGACTTAAATGTACAAATCCCATTTTGTTTGAAAAGGCAAGTTTGAGACATCATGGACCTATATTGTTGAATTAGATCTTTTCTGTTATTTAATTTATCTTTATGAATTTTCTTTTTCTTTTCCTTTTAAAAGATTCAATGCCATAATTGTCATAATTTTGTATATTGTATATTGTACCACCACAGTCTAGAGGCACACTGTCCTCAACACACGTGCTTTTACTACTTCTAATGAGCAAAGCAGCATCCACATGTGTCACTGAAAACGTAACACATTCCTGTTTTGATTTTTATATCATAATAGTGGAATTGCTGTTTACACATTCATTTCCAGAGCAGTGCTTTGTTGAACAACAGTGAAAGCAGTGAGGGGTTCATATTAAATCTCCTTAAGTAAAATGGCTATTGGAAAAATGGCTTTTGACATCATATTGAAGGATTTGAGTTCAACTTGAACATTTAATCCAAATTTAATTATGTGCCATTTGTTGCCATGTAAGTTAGAAGTGTAGGCTCATTTTAGTTTTTAGCAGCCAGATTTACGCAACTGTGGAGCCCACAGCTGGTACAACATGAGACGGTAATGCCACCATGATGAAAATAGCTGCATAGGCTCATGCTGGGATACCTTGAAAAACCATTGTCACTCAACACATTCAGATAAATGCTGCCGAGTGTTCTGGTCATGGCCTCATCCGATGGACAGAAAGATAGTGGAGATGTGATCTGTCAAACTAGCTTAGAGCTGTACCAGAAGGTGAAAGGGTTCATTCAGATAACCGGCAGATGGAGAGACAAATCTGTTTGGATTCAGCTTTATTTGAATGGCTGAATGTAACAAATGTCTTCTTAAGGTACTTCAAAGATGCAGGCAATTTGAATCCAGTTAATTGTGATACCATTACAACTAATCAATTCCAATTAATTATATTTCAAATTAGGCAAAATCAATAAAAGGAAAAAGCTTAGATGCTTGGTAGCTTTGGAAACCATCAGGTTGCAGTAAAAGAGGCTGTTGTTGACTTAAGCCAGACGGTTTCAGACCCCATGAGCGGAACGTAAAGCGACAGCGTGTGCAGGAAATGAGCAGCACATGATATTCACTCCGAGGTAAACACACACACTATTCCACGCTTGAAATCTTAGATTCAGTAAATGTAGACATTTTCACAACAAAATGAGAAAAGTAAGGTCATTCAAATTGATGCAACATGGTGCTAAATTATACGTCTACCTTTTCTACTACCTTTTTGCCAAGTGGGCAGATCCTATGCCTTGATTGTATTTTACTAACCTGCATACATCTCTGTCCTCTGCAGGTGCTGTTCGCTCACAGAAACAAGAGTCTGACTGGGAGAAACACCTCATCTTATGCTACGCTCAGAATAAGAAGTAATCTCCTAAAACGCTGTCTGTCTAATATCTGTTTCAAACTCCCAGAAATCCACTCTGTAACTTGTAATAATTTGCAATTCAGAGAAGACCCTTTTTTATTATTTTTGTCTTGCTGTGTGAACACACAGCGCACTTGGTGCTTTTTAGGTTTCATGTCTTCTATTGTAATCTGCTCTGTGGTCATCAGAGTCCTAGCTGACTAGTGGATTGTTTCCTGGTTATTTGGTGGAACTACAGTCCTGTCATAAACCGCACCTGCTCATGAAAAAAACACAGAAGTTAAATTGTTGAATTGTAAGTCAATTGTTTTGACTTGACCAAACGTCTCATCTTAACCACCAAAAAGAAACATTTTTAGACAAACTCAGTTCTTCTAACATTTGGACTCATTTGCAGCGGATATTGCTGATACTTGTCGCAGCAACCATTCAACCACCCACACACACACACACACACACACACACACACACACACACAAGCCCCTGTCATCATTAACAGCTGAACATAGTGTTCACAGCTCGGAGCAGCTGTTCTTACTCATATGAAAGTTACTCGACTGTGTTTTTATTGTTGCAGAATCAGCACACTGTGACCACTTGGTCACTTGCTCCTGTGTGTGCACACGTCTTTTATGACTTGATAAGATTACAGCGCATAATGATGAATAACGAGTGCTCATCACCCCCAAACCTTTGTTAGCAGCTGTCAGTCACCCTCACTTTACTAAGATACATAGAATGTCAAATCTCCCACTGACCTAAAAAGTAAAAGAAAACATTTCCCATTAAAGGGTTCCCCTCATTTGACTTTGGTTTTGAAAAAGTTGGAATTGATTTATGATGCCACTTTTGAAGTGAATAGTTTTTCTTTGGTAATTTCTCTTTCTGAAGAGCATAATCAAGTCACTCTGACAGGTATCTAATTTTGAAGAAAGTTCTACCATTGTAAAATGTTAACTGAGTAATGTACCCTCAGTTATTAAGTTTTTCTAAGAATCGATAATATGTTATGCTCTACTGTGGTAATGATCTATCTAATTAAGTTTCACTTGTCTGTTCTTTAGTTTACATTGTTTATTCCAAGAGATGCAAAAATAAAATGTTTTCGGTGTGAATTTATGTTTTCTGTGACTTTCTTGAAACCTTTTTGATTTAATCTATACGGCTGCATTATCTGAGAGTTGACAGAATTCTGACTTTACTCCTCAGTGGCAAAGAAATTTGTATTTTTGTTTTTACTTTTGTTAATTTTTACAGAGATATTTGTTTGAAAAAATAAATAAAATTCTTTCCTCATTTTATCGGAAGATTTGTTTACAGTCTAATTGTGTGCGTCTGTGCTTTAGCTCCTTTCCCAGGGGCTTGTTATTGTGTCTCTTGGAAACTTTCGCTCTTTTGACGCAAAACGGAGCGATAATTTCAGCAGCTGTTTACACATTAACCTACCGCAGTAATTTCACCTGTGAAATTACCTGTGATTTCACAGGTGGCCCTGTGATGTCAGAAAGGCCATGATGATATCCAGGTCACAGGAACAGAGATGCTGGGAGTTTGGGAGTATGATGAAGCTAAATGAGTGTGTCTGCAGAGTGTGTGGAGGTGCTAATGTTTGCAGTGTCGCTGCTCTGTCCAGTGTATCAGGAGCACTCGGTCAGGCCGCTTGTGCGTTGTGTCCATGTTCGGTATAATGATTTGGTTAGCGTTAACTTTTCGTCCATCAGCAGACTTCTTTTCATTTATGTTTGTGCTTTTAAAACTGAAATGTTCTCGGTGCACAATGCAAACTATTTGCCCCTCCACTCACACTTCTGTGAAGAGAATGTAAATGAGATTTTAGTTCATTCAAAGAATTGCGAAGCCACGCAAACCCTCCCACTGCTGGAGTCACAAGTGACGCAGAAATGCCGACGACACAGCAGGCCGCTGCAGGTCATTGGATCATGTGTGACAAGTGCCCACGTTGTGCCATTTTTCCCAGTTGCATTCATTCTGTTGTCAGTTATTGTCTCTGCTCTTGGAGGCGATCAAAAACTGGGCCCGATGTGTGCTCACACCATCATTATTCGCATGTTTTAATAGCTCATTTGCAGAGTGCAAACATGAGGCGTAAGTAATCTGTAGTCCAGTAGCTGTATGTGATTCTAATCATTTTTAGCTTATTTGATCACGGCTTGCAAATATGCTAACAAAGGCAGGGCAGCATCATATGGCATTAGTTTATCAGAATTACATGACCACAGACGTGATTTTTCTTGGTATTTAGACTTGAGAGGTAACCCAACACATAATTTTATCAGAACTAAAACTGTGTGGAAGTTAATGCTGTGACTTTTTATTTATTTGTTTGCTTTATTCTACATTTTTAACTTTTTTAATGTTTTTATTTTATTTTATTTTTTGGTCATAGAAAACTTACAAGCACCATCAGTTCATGAAAGTATGCAGTCGTGTCTCCTCTTTGGTGCATTTGCCAACCTGTGAGTGGCTGTCCATGGCCGTGGCTCAGGTCAAAAGCTTCCTTCACTTCCCTGCCCTGCCAAACACAATAAATAATGTGGCTGGCTGAAGCCTTTTGTGTCCACACAGATTCCTTCTTTTGCCCGGGGTGGGCGGAAATCGAGGCGTTTGATCTGAATTCTAAAGAGTCTTGTTGCAGCCCAATAAAGGGTGCCATTGTATGTAAATAGTTTATATAAGAGCATATGACTGCTACGGTGCAGGGCAGTGGCTAGTGGCGGAGGAATGATTTGCATTTTCCTAACGCATGGTGTTCTCAATCCAGCCCTTTGGCTTGCTAAAAGCAAAATATTTTGTCTTAATTTCTTCCCAGTTTGTACACATTTTTGTGTACCACCACAGCTGAAGGTAAAATACATGCTCTATCCTCTTCTTTGTGTTTTCTACTAACACTCAGAGTGGAAAGGGGTCGGGGGGTGTGTGTTGGAGGACGTGTCCCTTTGCCAGGACAGGAAAAATGGTTAAAGTGCTAATGGGTCGCACCATCATTACACTCATTAGTGATCATTGAAAAAAAACTTTGATTATCTTAAGTATTTATCAAATTTGTGACAGTTTTTAGATTTCTCCAAACAACAATTGGAAATGGAAGTCTCATAATGAGATGCATGCTTTGCTGTTTCCCTGGAGACATTTTCTGGCAGTCTGTCTGTCGGCAAATGGGCTGTAGGTCAGTTTGGGTGTACAGTATTAATACTGGGTGAAAACATCACGTGGTCCTGCCAATGTTTCGCAATTGGCTTTGATTTCTTGCGTCTTATGACGGCGCGTGGAGGTAGGCCATCGCCTCGGCTTTTATACAGCCGGCAGCCCTACTTGGCATTTCTTGTCTGTTCCTTACGAATCCAGCTTGATGCTCAGGTCACATCTCAAGATGCTCATCTTCGGACCTGGGGCTGCTTACGCCGCTTGCACCGCTGGCTGAGCCTGGTAAACTTCTAAAAATTGACTCGACAGACATTTTAGTTGGCATCTGTAAGACTTTCTCACAAATGGTACCAATTAGAAAATACAAAAATCCGATAACATTTCCGAGAGGCTTTTGGTGACGTTTGACATTTTATGGATGATTTTATTCTTAAAAAGATAGTGATCAGAGAAGTGCCTTGATCTTTACCCATGTATTCTAAGATAGATATTTAATGTTCAACTTAATATTTTCTCTTTCAGACCTGGAGTCGAAGATGAACTGGGGGTCCTTTTATGCCGTGATCAGCGGCGTAAACAGGCACTCGACTGGCATTGGACGCATTTGGCTCTCTGTCATCTTCATCTTCCGCATCCTGGTCCTGGTGGTGGCCGCGGAGAGCGTTTGGGGGGACGAGAAGTCCGGCTTCATCTGCAACACCCAGCAGCCCGGCTGCAACAGCGTCTGCTACGACCAGTTCTTCCCCATCTCGCACATCCGACTGTGGGCGCTGCAGCTCATCCTGGTCTCCACCCCCGCGCTGCTGGTGGCCATGCACGTGGCCCACAGGAGGCACATCGACAAGAAGATCCTGAAGAGGGCGGGCCGCAGCAGCCCCAAGGAGCTGGAGCACATCAAGAACCAGAAGTTCCAGATCACGGGAGCTCTGTGGTGGACATACATGATCAGCATCATCTTCAGGATCGTCTTCGAGGCGGCCTTTCTCTACATCTTCTACTTGATCTATCCGGACTTTAAGATGGTGCGCTTGGTGAAATGTGACTCGTATCCGTGCCCCAACACGGTGGACTGCTTTGTCTCCAGACCCACAGAAAAGACCATCTTCACTGTGTTCATGCTGGCTGTATCAGGGGTGTGTGTGCTGCTCAACCTGGCCGAGGTGGCCTATCTCATAGGCAGGGCCTGCAAACGCTGCGTGGGCGGCTCTGAGGAGGAGTCAAAAAACGCTTGGATAAGTCAGAGGTTGTCTTCCTATAGGCAAAACGAAATCAATCAGCTGATAGCAGATCACTCACTCAAGCCAAAGTTCACTGTGACTAAGAAAAGCCCACCTGAGAACGGTGAAAGGTGTTCTGCTTTCTGAGACTCCCTTTAAACTAATGCTATCCAAAGGATACGTTCTGCATTAATGACACTTACACTGTATATGAGATCACTGTCAGCATTTTTAGCCTTTATTTATGAATCTTTAAGTTAATAACTTGTGGATTGAGAGTATGTGTAATTATTACCGACAAAAAAAAGATGAACTGTTATTCAGGAGAAACTGTTGGAAAGTTTCTAAGACCAAACCAGTCATTTTACACGCCAAACTGGTTTACTACAAATGCATTACAACTGATAGTGCTGTATGACCAAGCTCTCCGTGATGTGAGAGGACTTTCTGTTTTGTTTGATTTTTTAAGCTTCTTTTAAGCTTTCCTTTAATAACTGTAGACAAAGCAAGCAAATTAACAAAGTGGAAAAAAGTCTAAACAAGTCATTCTGTTTGATCACAGTTGTATATCAACTGCACGTGTGCTACAAGGTCCCAAAAATGACTCCCAATATAGTTGTATTCATGAGTTGTGAAATAGGAAAATCGAATCCATAAATGTGGCGTGAAATAGGCATTGTTGTGCATTGTAAAGGTCTATGTTTGGGATGTCAGCGACCTTACAGTGGAACGAGGAGTGGAAAATTGATGGATGGATGATTTTTTTTTTCTCTCCAGATTTCTCGTGTCATTAATGGAAACGGGCAGCATTTTTTAAGGCATAAAAGGCCCGCAATGTTCAACTAATTATGAGCTAGTGAAGGCATTTTGTAGGAACTTTTTCTGCAATTTAAAATGCAAAACGGAACATAAACATCAATAATGGACCTTTACAACTGACTATGATCACTGTAATAGGTTAATCAGTGGATGAGAGAGACTGTTAGTCTGTTGCAAATAAATAAATACAAATATCATATTTAATCTGGACCAATCTAGCCCAAATGTTCAACGCCTGAATATTTATTGAAGAGAAAAGCTTTTAAATCTATTTTCTAAAACAGATACACAGGGAAAAAAGCCATACCTCACATAAGCAGCCACATATTTCCCTATATAGGCATGTCCAACACCCCCATTCTCCATTTGTCTTATTTTCTCAAAACAGTCCACTACCTTATTGCTTTTTGTCCCTCCTCTCTTTCCACTGCAGACACCGAGTCCAGTCAAAACCAAGTCTTCTTGAGCCCCCCCCCCCCCCCCGCCCCACACTGAGTCTCCCTCCCTTGGTTTATCCTCAATAGAATTTTATACTGTTAGGCAGTCTTTGTCCTCCTATTCGTCCTCTCAGATATTGAAGTCACCATGATGTGTGTCTGTTACTGATGTGAAGAAAATCGCCTTTTGAGGCCAACAACAGCATGGTAGTCAGATTTCAAGGTGCTAAAACTGAAAAAGGCTGTCATTTTTTCAGCCAGTACTGGTATGTATAGTAGAATAAAACCCTGAACAAAACCCAACTGCTAGAAAAGACTCTTGTTTGTAGTGTTTGAAGTGTTTGTAGAACTTTCCTGTCTGCGATACTCGCACTATGCTTTAGAAAAATGGGGGGAAAACGTAAAGCCATTGTTTTTCCCCCTACTTGGTTGTTTGACAGAGAACCATAATTACTGAATATGAGTGTTTTGTTATTGAGATAACCTGCTCTTTTGTGCTCATTTTAATAGAAACACAAACCATATGTATAAATGCAAATGCATCCGTTTCCATCCAGGTAAACAATCCAGATCAAATATACTGGGTTGAAACTATAATATGTACATTATGTGATGTAAAGAAAATAAACTGCCTGATCATTGGACGTTATTTGAGGTTATTTATCAAATTGTGCTTTGTTTTTCTCAGTCTATTTTGAGATGTCTGCGGTCCCAGATTTTTCATAGTTCACCTTCTTCCCGTCTGTGTAATTTGTAACTTGAGGATGCCATTGGCTACTCATCTCCAGATCATGCCCCCCACCCTCCCCCCTTCAATGATAGGAGATAGACCCTTATGCTATATTTAGACCCCATGGGCCCTTGTGGCCAGACAGGCTTAACAGACAACATGATTGGCCAGCTGCCCTGTCGCTCACTGTAAGAGCCGAGTGGACGGGCTTCAGCGGTTTACATTAGAGAGTGTCCACCATGCCAAATTTAACTGCAGGGGGAGGGGGGTTGAGGGAAGGTAGTTGAGAGTGTGTCCAGCAATTTTTTTTTCATGTGTTGTGGTCAGCGGAAGAAGACCCCGGGGCCTGGATCCCGAGTCCTGCCAAAGTTCAACTATGAAGACAGACGACTAAGTCAGTGTGTTTGTTGGTGTTGAACTGCCTTTGTTGCTAGCAGGAGTCCACTTTTCCTATTTTCCTAACCATTCAAGGACACTGCTTTGGGCCCTGAGATCAGCTCCGCACTGAGGCCTGTCGGTGGAGCAGGGCAGCCTCATGGACCCCCCAAGAGCTCTATCGCAAGGGATGTACAAGTTGACCAGGCGGAACTCTACGGCAAATGTGAGTTTTTGTATGTCTTTGTGAATATGAAATTTTGTTGGTTCATTCAGAATTGAAGTCAGACACCAACCTTTCTTAGGGAACGTGCCGCAGACAAAAGCTGTAGTATTTACGTTTACTGTCAAGGCTGTAGTTGTTACCACAATCTTGGAGTTCTTCAATTTCTTTATCTTGAGATGTCACTACATTAATCTCTAGTGTTATTGTAGGATCATACAGTATGAGGGGATTCATATTGATTGTGGGGGGGGAAAAACAGCTCCCAGACGTTTGAATGATTTGTTAGATGTGGATGCCAAAACATCACGCCGGCATACTTTGAGTTTCTTGGCCTTCTAAAGAACACCACACGCATCAAAAGGTGGGATATATTTGTAACATAATGTATCGCAAGGGCTGACAGAGGCAGCATTACTCGACTGTTTCTGATTCACACTCCTGGTGTGAATTGGCTGGGTGTTTGATTTCATCTCGTGTGGATCGTGTTGCCATGGTTTGGGTCGTGAAGGCCAAGAGCAGCAGAAACATACTAAAACCTGCCTTGTCCCTGTCCACACCTGCCAAATATATACCCTCCTAAAGTAAATATAATCCTGTATGTGTCCATGTGGATAAGAACATTACCTGCTCAGCTGCCGAGTCCCCCAGTTGGACTTTCAGCTTGGCTCCTTGGGGACTCGTTTGTTTTGAGCTCCTTTTGGCTCGGTAAGACATTTTGGGGATTTTGTTTCATTGCCATCTTAGAAAATTCATCTACTTCTACATATTCCTTTTATTTCAGTAATTTATTATATGTGCTGTGTAGTAAACTTTATAGATAAGTCCCAATGACAATGTTTTTGTAACTCCATGTTAATGCTACCTTCATCGCAGATCTGACACTCAGTCATGGGGGACTGGAACCTGCTGGGAAAGCTTTTAGAAAAAGCCCAGGAGCACTCCACCGTGGTGGGAAAGGTGTGGCTCACTGTCCTGTTCATCTTCCGCATCCTGATCCTGAGCGCTGCGACAGAGAAGGTGTGGGGCGACGAGCAGTCGGGCTTCACCTGCGACACCAAGCAGCCTGGTTGCGAGAACGTGTGCTACGATATTACCTTCCCCATCTCCCACGTCCGCTTCTGGGTGCTGCAGATTATCTTTGTCTCCACGCCTACCTTAATCTACCTGGGGCACATACTCCACCTGGTGCGGATGGAGGAGAAACACAGAGAGAGGCACAAGGATCATCACTCGGACAAACTAATGGGTGATGCTAATCCCAAAAAAGCCCTGATAAGGGACGAGAAAGGGCGGGTGCGCCTGCAGGGGGAGCTCCTGCGCACGTATGTCTTCAATGTGATCTTTAAAACACTGTTTGAGGTGGGATTCATCGTGGCCCAGTACCTTTTGTACGGCTTTGAGCTGAAACCCATGTACACCTGTGACAGACACCCCTGTCCCAACACGGTTAACTGTTACATATCCCGCCCCACGGAGAAAACCATCTTCATCATTTTCATGCTTGGAGTGGCCAGCTTGTCTTTGCTCCTCAACCTCATAGAAGTCTATCACCTGGGTTTCACCAAGTGCCGCCAGGGCATCACCTTCAGGAGGAGGCAGCGGTCCCCCGAGTTCATCTCCAAAGAGCCCAGTGAGGCCGCCGTGCCGCTGGTGCCCAGCTTCGATGACTATTTTCCTGCCCATCGCCAAGTCCAGCCCGTCTACCCGCCCGTACCCAGCTACAACCTCACCCCTCTGTCCGAGGGCACAGACTCATCCTTCCATCCCTACCACAGCAAGGCGGCTTACAAACAGAACAAGGACAACTTGGCGGTGGAAAGGAGCAGCAGCAAGCCAGAGGAATTTGACCTGAAAGGAAAGAGAGGAGCCGGATCGGCCCCCGGGTCGCCTACGCAGGCTAGGCCAGGCCACGGAAGCAAACACAGCGGCAACAAGACCAGAATAGACGATCTGAAGATATAAGGGGGCTTATGTATCTTAGAGGTCTCTTAAATTGCGAGGGGATCATGTGTTGTCTGTATACAGTCGCACAAGCTACCCCCCCCCCCTCCCCTTTAAGACTGCTCAGGTTTGACTCATTCCAGTTTAGAGGGGAGTGACATTTAAGAGAGAGCCAGAGTGTACTGTAACATGCACAGAGGGACAAGGTAAAAACAAAAACATTTCAGATAAACTTTCATTTCCTGCTCTCCCGTTGCCCTCCATTGGGGGATGTTCTATTTTGAGAAACTTCATTGCTTTTCACTTCTGATAATAGCATATTCCTTTACGGTTCACAGATTAGGACAACATCATGTTGTAAGTAAGCGTTGATCGGTTCTGGTGCATTCGCAGTCATCTTGGCGTTTGTATGGCATAAATCTTTCCACTCTCAAGCGTACAGTTTGCTCAGGTTTCCACTGAGCCTGCTTGCTTTTTAAGGAGGTAAAATTCTCAGAATCCAGTACACGCAGGAACATATTTAACACAGTCCTGACCTCAGTTAACGAAATAAGAGAAGGTGAATAGTTCAATTGAACTCCCTCTAACAGTTTTGAGGTCATCATCAAGCATAGTTCACTTGTTTAGACTTGAAGTGAGAAATTGTGCAATACGTGACAACACATTGGACACTGGAATGATTGTTACTAAATCCAGATCGTGCTTCCAAAGAAATAACACTGGTGTTAGAGGTTCCAACATTTGAGCTGTCTCTCTCTTTCTGTCTCTGTTTTTTTTTTTTTTTTTTGACAGCCAGCAAGTACATAACTGAAAGCACATTTTTTGCTTCATCCTTGTTCATATTTGTGTTTCTTTTCTTTGAGGCACTTGGTAACAACCATGTTTGTGAAACTGCCTGAAATAAAACTGTCTTAAATTTGCACAGCCAGAAGTTTGTGTATGCATTAACTCATTATCAGGAGATGGTGATACATTTTCAAAGTACAGTTCATGTTGCAGGACACTTTCCAGCTGGTATTTCATTCTCCTGCATAAGATGAATTAGGATCAGCTCCACCACCATCTACTTCTGTGCTTAATCCAAGATTATCTCAGAATGTCAGGAATTATATAGAGCCTGCCAGGTGTAGTTTGAGTCATCTGTATTTCACCCTGTTAAAAACCAACATGTTCAAGCGGGAATAGCCTTTAGTGTGAAAGTATCTCACAAATGCAGGTATCAGACGCCTCTGTTCCAGGAAAGCACGGCTCAAAAGCACCCCTGGTATGAAAACCTCGAAATAGCTTGTTTAGGACAAGGAAGGCCTTCATGGCTTTGAAATGGTATGTTCTTAACTTACTGTCAACTACTTCCTGTACCAGGGGGGAGACTAAAAAGGTTGTTCTTGCTATTTAAATGCATTAACCTCCTGACAAAGATCAGTCTCTTTTTGTCCTTAACTTCTGTGATTTACCGTGAGACTGATAAAAGTCTGGGCATCAGGACTAGACTGTGCTGCGAGGCCAGAAACATTATTCCCCACATCCCCCACATGTCATCCGCTAAAAAAAAATAACAGCCGAACCGGACTGAGGAGTCAGGCGTGATATGTGCAATATAAAGCACCATAAATCAAAAAGCAATCCAGGATAGTCTGCAATGTTAAAGAGATGCAACACCTTTTTTGGGAAAACCAAATGAAAAATGAAACATAAAGTTTTCTTTTACTATTATTTACATTTTTGGCAATATAATAAAGTGATCATTCTCTGGAAAACGTGTACTTTTTATGATAACAGATGAACAGATCTAATTTATCCATGAATCCAGAGCTTTGAAGTGAAACCATTTTTGAATGAGAATATGCTTTTTGTATATGTACTGTACAGCATATATCAATAAGTGACGTTTGCTGTTCCCAGTGTTACTAGCCTGAAATATGGCTGTACACCAGCTTCCACAATGACATGCTTAATGACAAGTAAATTAAAGCATGAAAGCAATGTTTCCAATAATTAACTTTGGCACCCTTCTCATTCCCTACTGAAGTCCATTTTTAACTGTAATGACACAGATGGTTTACTCTGACTTAATCATCAGTATCTTAATGGAATAATATGTAAGCACAGACATGAAATGAAATTATTAGTGCAATTTGCTTGGAAGGCAAATACATCTTAGTTCTGCTCTGGATAAGTCTGCTGTTTCTGTCAAATCTCTCTGTGATTCATCTGCCCAGTGCTCATTACTGCAAAAGGCCTAAATCTTTTGCTTTTTTATTTTGGACATAAAAGTCTTTTTAGGGCATTTCAACCTTGTAGGTCTTGTAGGTCTAATCCCATTATCAAGGCAGTACTTGGATGTCACTGCTTGCAGTTTTTGGTGCAGGTCCTGTGATGACACTTTTAAGTTGTTGGAGACTTCTTTATGCATGGTCTGCCCTTGGGCTGAATTCACTGTAGTGTCCGCTCGGTTGGAAATCTGCACCGCTCGACGATGATGAATATTACAGTTGAATGGAGCTGTGTAAATCCAGTGCAAGAAACATTAACAGCCAGATGCTTTACTTATTTATTCATTAATTCTTTCTTTACATTTAGAGCTTGTTATTTGTAGATTTTGATTTGAAAAAAATACCCATGTCTAACCTGTTTAAAATGTTTTTTCCCTGCTGAAGCAAGTCAAAGTGCTGTGTATTGTGCATTCTGTTCCTCTCCCAGCTAGCTGATGCACGGTACTCTACTGCCCTCTTTCTTTAATGCCACAGAAACGCTGACACATCACTTGCTGCTTCCCTGCAGAGGGCTCCACCTCCTGGACATCTGAAGGCATTTCAGACCCAACTTGGAATTTGCCACTTCTTCTGATGAATCTTCTTGTTTTTTTTTTATTATTATTTATGGCCGAGTATTAAATAGTACGGAGTCGTTTGATCTGAGACGGTAATCTGGAACATATGTGAGATGCATATGGAGCAAGAGCTGAATAAGAACTACTTTGCAGACGAGGCAAAACAAACCATCTTTGAGGGATGGCGTGCGTTTTAGAGTCTCCGACTCAAGTATCTACACTCTCGGGCCTGTTTTCAATCATCCTGACACTATGTGCCCGATGTGTGATAAATGACATGGCCTGAAGCAAACGTTTGCCCATGCACCAACTGTGAGCTGCTCAAAGACGCTGCTTATGAATTATCAGCCAAAGGAAATTTGCACGGGTGGGGGGTGGTGTGTGTATGTGTGTGTGTGTGTGTGTGTGTGTGGGTGGGTGGGGGAGCTTTTACTGGCTGAATCAGTCGAACTGCTTGCAGGCCTGTCACCTCATCACTTACACTACCTTCGTTAAAATCAATGCTGGGCTCAGATGGGGAGCTGGGCAGAATGCAGCGCGGGGGACGAGGCAGAAGAGCTGGCGAGGGGAGGCTCGGTGGGGGAAATGAACAAAAGTCAGCTGCTGACATGGTTTCTGAGGCAGAAAACGTGGTTACGGCCTCGCATCTGTCAGCTCTCATCTCGCCCCCTTTGTTAGGTGCTGTGGGAACAGGCTGACCATTTGCTGCCACCATGTGACGGCAGCAACTCCCTGCAGAAATCAGGACATCAAGTCATAGACTGTTCAAAGAGGGCTTGTGTTGTTACGGTGCCTTAATTGATTCTTTTCACCGCAGTCTTCGTCGAGAGAGGAGAAAATCATGCGTGGATTTCAAATATTCCCCTCAAATGGAACGCAGAGGTTGCACGAAAATATCTCAGGGCTTTCCTATTTCCAGTAGGACGCAGTAAAGTGATGAATCATAGGTTTTCACCACAGTGTTGGGTTTTTGCTTGTCAGGGCCCTTACTGCTGTGACAGTTAAAAATCCTTGTGGGATCAACAGAATAACAGACCCTGTCTACGACCAAATTAACCACACAAAGGCTTTCCTCACAGTTGGATCACTGGGCACACATTTTGGTTCCGTATGGCTTACACAACCGATGGTAGGGGAAGTCATGGCCTTGTGTGTGATACAGCTTGTTTATCACGCGCAGACCTAAATAAAGTTCATCCAAGATTATATCAAAGGATCTTCTCAGTGATAAGAATTTGATAATCCACTGACATACTTCCGTCGGCTTTCTCAGCCTCAGATGTTTACAGATGTGCTGTCCTGTTTGACCCTGCCTCCATAAATAAAAGGCAATTAAAAGTTTAGACACCGTGAAATTTAAAAAAAAAAAGAAATAAGCTTAGTTTAAATTTAACTTACTGGGTTCATTGTCAATGTGCATTTTACTCCCAGGACAATAATAAAGTCCCTAAAAGTGTGTGAAAACACAGAAATCTACAAGTTTTCAAGTTTATTTGAGTCACGCTGCACTTACATCACACTGACGTCTACATTCTCAACATTTTCAGTACAAACAATTTTCATAAAAACAACCATTTCAGAAGCAGTTTGACTGCCACCATATTACAGCACAAGACCAAGTTAACGCACAGACGAAAACACAAGCATTTTGTTGAAAAGGGGCAGACAGAAGGGTGAGGCAGAGCTATGGAGAACACATGATGACTCTGCCCTGAAACACAGTGGGATGCCTTTAATTGTATTCAGATAAGAGAAGAAAAACTGAGGGCGGATGGTCATATGTAGATGTCCTGAATAATACAAAGTATTCCGCGTCAGAGCGTATCATTCAAAGCCCGAGACGCTTCCTAACATGAAAAACCCCTAATGAGAGGGGACTTGAGCAGTTGGCCGAATGGCAGCTTAATGCAAACCTTCTTAAAAACAGATGCTGCTGTCTGTCAACTACGGAGGATTTTCAGAGAACAGAGACAAGAGAAAGAGAAAAAAAAGAAAATAAATAAATCAAAAAGTGAGCCTGCTGTGGCTGGGGGGGGAAAACCCATCCAGCAGCCTCTGCTCCCCCACATCAAGGAAAATGCTCTAACTTCCTGCTCTGGCCCGGGGTTAAAAGCCTGAGCTCAGACCGTCCCGACTGTCTGGTCTGTAGATGGTGCCGTCTGGTTGATGCCCGTGAGAAGGGGGCTGTGGATCCCTGCCTGCATCTGTCCATCTCCTCTGGACTCAGTGGCTGATAAGGGAATGCCTTAATCGTGTTTGCCCTTGCCTTTAGGCGTGCCTTCGTTCCAGGCCACATAAACAAAACCGGCCAACACCACATGCACAGTGAGCACCGCCACGATGGCCGCGTAGAAGTAGCTGTCAGAGCTGGACATTTTCATGGAACCTGAGAAGAGGAGGAGGAGGAGGAGTTTTAACGACAAGGACGGGCTCCTGCATCACTGACAAAAATGTCAAAGGCTCAAGGGTATTTTTCAGGGGACACTTTGTGATGAGGTCTGCACCTTTCGTGACAAAGGACAGAGTAGGTTGAAAAGCCTCCAGTTTTATCTGAGCACACGACTGCTCTGTATATCACAGGAGGCACGGGGAGCCTGAGACTGTTTAGGACATGAATAGACAGAAGTTTGAATACATTCCACCCTATTGAAACGGGCATCCACTTATTTTGGATCAAATTGTTTCTCATCTGTTCATGTTCAAGTAAATTAATATGACAGAGGTCCAAGAAAAAAAAAGGGAATAAGTCTATTTGTGAAATGAATAATGTTAACATGAATGGACAGATTTTTACAAATACATTATTTTGCTTGTTTGTTTTTTTGGACCTCATATAGTTTATTCTATTTAAATATCCTGTATATTTAAGACAAAAATATGGATTTCTTTTGTTTTTCTATCATTTATTTTCCATTCCATTTTCTATTAATTTACCTGAAACCTATTTATTGAGTCTGTCTTTCATTTCATAATGTGTTTCTGTTTATTTTGTTTTTCTTAGTAAATTAATCAAATTATTTATCTATCAATTCCTCTTTGTATTTGCCTGGTTGTTAATATTCTTACAGACATTCGTTTCCATGTTTTCAGTGCAAAATCTCTGACCAGATTTTGAAATCCCAGCATGCGTGTTTGTTAAAATGACGCAGGAATCAGGTTTGCAGAAACTGGCTTCAAAGATTTTCTTTTACCCATTAATGCAAAAAACTTGAAAAAACAACCAGTGCTCCCTGTCAGGCAGCTATGAGGACAAAGAAATGCATACAGCAACATAACATATACAGCGGGAGAAAGCCATGTGTCTAAGCTGGTTGGGATAAATAAATAGGGATGATATGAAAATAAAAACCACAATAAACAAATACTGCTATAAGTCAAAAACAAACTCTTTCCTAGACTTAGTTCCATGTTTCTGATATGATTTATGCTTGTAAGTAGTTGTTTTTTTTTTCAAATTGTTATGAATGCATTACCATGGCAACAGGAAAATTGTCTGCATGTGGGAGCAGCGAAGAGGGCTTTTAAAAGCCTGATTATTTCATAGGATGAGAAGCAAATTCAGATGGGTTAAAGTGGAGCTGTCAAGGACAAAGAGCAATGACAAAAGAGAGAGAAGGGAGGTGGACGTTGAAACTATCTATTCTCTTGATCATGGTGAAAAAAAGAGTTATACCTGACAGACGAAATGGATGAGCATGAAACCCAAACAAGGACATAGTGGGAATGTCAGGAAGACAGAACTATTTTTTAGCAAAGAATGTGTCTGGAAACAAATCACCTAGGTTTTCAAAAATCCCTGAATCAAACAGTGTGACTGACATCAGGATAGCAGAGCTGAAGGTGATAGAATGCAATGGAAAAAAACAAAAACAACTAGGAAAGAATAATGAAACAGACGTCTTTTGGATTCTGTGTATTTATGAATGCATGAATGTATGATCAGTCCAAAAATGCCTGAAAGATGCAATAACTATCTGATAAAATAACTTACTTTAGATTTTTGTCAATATCATTCTTTTTCTCATTTCATCTGGCTAACTTGCATGCAATTAAGCTTTAATAAAAAGGTGACTGATGTTTCTTTGATAACAAAATTATTTTAGCTATCTGTATATATATATTTTTTTTAATTTTTAACTTTATTTATTAAATGTATTTATCTATTTCAATTTTTACACTTTTTATATGTAGATATGCTCCATCTGTGTGGTATTCCCCCACACTTGCAAAACTATGAGGATTCATATAGTCCTGATGATAATCCTTATTTGTTTTTCTTATCTCCATATTGTTAATGGTTTTATTTGAATACTCTAAACTACATATTTCTATCGTATCCCAAACAATAATTCTCTTTTTGGGATAATCATTGTGTCTTTATTTTACTCAAATATGTCAGCAGTAGGATTTGTTTTTTGTTTTTTCAGAAAGGCCATTTTATTCACCTTTAAACTAAAACAGTCATACATACGTATACTAATATGTCTTTAAGATCGTAAAAGTCCCTATGATGGAGCTAATGTTTCCGAGCCTTTCCACAGATTAAAACAGCAATTTTGGGGGTAGTTTTTTAATCTGTCCGACCTTGCGGTGCTAAATAATATTGACAATTTCCTTGGGATCCCTCTCGTGTTCCAAAAGCTATTTCTAAGCAGCTTTAGTAGATCAGAAGGAGTGAAATCCTGTTTGGGTGAGTATATATAAATAGATAAAAACTTTTCATGAATAAAAAGGTCTTTAACCTCACTTCAGCGAAACCAAACTATTATTGTAATGCTTGAAAGCTAAGCACAGAGGGTAGTTTGTGGTAGTTTTATCCTTTCATCTCGAATCATCAGTAACTCTGAGGGGCTTTTATCCTGTTAGAAAGGACAATGTAGTGATGTAGTGATTTTACCCTCAAAGATGTATGCCTTTGATGCGAAGTACAGTCCAATGGGCAGCGTGACCATCAGGATAGTGAAGAACAGCAGTGTCTTTAGGGCTGAAACCAGGGAGCCTTCATTTCTGTGGAGAACACGTTCATTAGTTAAACATCATAAAACGAGGACAGCGACCCTATTGTTTAAAGAGCGGAGAGAAGTTCAACTGTCGATTATTGATGTGGCCGTGTCCACCGGCAATAGTTCATTTTGCGGTTCAGCATTGCGAGACATTAAAAGAAAAGGGGTTTTCTGTCCTCCCGCGCATGTTCAGCATCACAGCGGTACATTAGGCCGAACGTCAGTAAGCTGAGCCGCTAGCATGCTAAATGATGCTGCCCGACGGTTTAAAGACGTCTCCTCACCCTCTGAAATACGGGGGCGGTTCAGCCAGGGCGTCTGTCGGTGCTCGCGCCGCTCCGTCCATTGCTGGACCGATGAGAGGCACAGGGAAGACAAAAAGAGTTGCTTTATTATCAGTCTTCAATGCCTATCCCTGTGCGTGTGTTGTGTTGTCGGTGTCAGATCACTTCTTCCGGCATAGTCACGGGACCGTCACATGACGAGGCTTTGCCGCCGGCTAGTCTCGCGAGGCCAGACCTTCTGGAAATTGTGGAAGCACGGCTAATAAAGAGTTGTTTTCTATCCGGTGAAAATTTATGACAGTTGCTAAACGCACTGGACACTTTGCTGAATAGGAACACTGTGTGACTATGATCCGTCTGGGCTTTCTTGTGTTTGTATTGAAGACCTCCTTTGATTTGTTTTTTATAGCGCTGTTATATAATTGTTGGGAGCAGCACGATTTTTTTCTAAGAAAAAGCCACAATAGCTTAAGTCATCTAAATCATAAACATAATATTGTAAAAGGAATAGAAGCCGTTAAAGTAAAATGCAGTAAAACATTCAAAATTATTTCAGATTTAGTAATGTAGCAGCAAATGATTTTTAAGCCATTCTGGTTCTTCCTCAGTTTTAGCTGAATTTGATTAGCAATTGATAAAGGAAATCAGCGCAAATAAACACAATTAAAGAATGCATTGAATAACCATGAGAATAACGAGACAAACATGACATGTGCAAAACCATTTATGCAAAAGGTTTAAAAATGTCAACAGGTGTAATTACATTGGGTTTAGAGAATGAAATGCTGGAAAGGCCATGTAAGGAATTACACATCATAAAAATATCATAGAAAAATGTCTCAAGTTAAGCTTCAATTTACTGATATCTTCTAATTCAGGCCACACGTGTGCTGTTTTCAGATAATATCACAAAATTAGTTTCTTCCAGCGTTTTCAAGTTTTTTTTTAGTCTTGAATATTGAAATTCTAACTTGCATGAATTAATTGAGGGTGAATCTAATTACAAAGACTCTTTTAGAGTTATCATTAGTATAGTGGGGGGTGCTTGTTCTTACAAAGTCTTTTAATTCTCCACAATTTGTTGACATGAAGAAAAAAAAACTAAAACTAAAACTGGGACTTATCAGGAAAACTAGTCAAATGTACAATATATACAATCAGAAAGATCTTTCTCACTCCCGACACGGATGGCCTGAACAAAAATATAGATGTAGAACTACACAACAATTAAACACAGAACAATGATCTCTTAAAATAGGCTAAGAAAATGGTCCTAATTCGCATTCAAGTAGAAAAAAGGCAACTGTCTTCGGAGTACTTTACTTTTATTTTTAAAAATCTCTGGCGACAGCAGCAAGCAGAAACTCAAAGCTGCCAAAACATGTGAGGGGGAATTCATGTGCTGGTGCTGTAGGATTGATCCACAGCAACAATTCATCTCACTCCCAAACTTAACTCACCGTATATTAGCACAGTTATTTTCAAATACTCATTTTAAGGTGTATTACAAATTTCAGAATAGTTCATTATATACCATTCAATTACAATAACAGAAAGGTATACTTTCAGTAATTCCAATTGTTTCTTCTAATTAATCATATATCCACTTCTGCTCCAGCTGGCTTTGTACTTTTTACATGATCCGACACTCAGCAGGTTCCCCAAAACACGTTTGATTTGAAAAGGCTCTCAAAAGAAAACAGCCAGAGGCAATGTGTACAACCCAGTGATGTGTCTTCAAAATAATTATTTGATTTTTGAGGCAGTTTAACTCCTTAGTATTTATATAGAAATGACAGGAAATGTCAGTGACTCGGAGATGTGCCGAGAGCTGTCGCAGTGAATCACATTATTCCACATTTGTTGCTGGATGAACCGACAAGTGTGATTTAAAATGATCATTTTCTATCGCTGTTTTTTTTTTTGGCACAATGACGCAGTCTCTAGACACGCAGGAACCACGGGGGGGGGGGGAATACTCCCAACACAGCATCCTTAATGCTCCTTTTGCTATGTCAACAAATACATTACTCTTCATTCATCAACGTCTGCCGGGAGAGACAGAAAGGCTCATCTACAGTGGGGAGGAGGAAGTGAAGGATATGGAGCTAATAAAAAGGAGATGAAATTGAGGTGTTGCCCCCCCACCCTCCACACACACACACACACACACACACACCGCCACCCCCCAGCCCCCACCGCTGACCCCAAGCAATGTGATACTGACTTTTATTATTGGCAGTGAGTCATTGTGTGGAAATGACAGCTTTGATTCCATACGTTTCTGGGCTTTGTGCTTCAGATTGCCACAGCTAAAATGACACTTGTTGCTTTTGTTTCTTTCACGTCTTAAATTTCAGCCTCACAAACATTGATTTATATTGATCGGTCTTGTGGCCGACATGCCATAGTTTTTTGTTTCTCTAAAAACACTCCCTCTTTTGTCAGTGTTGGATCATGCAATAGAACTGTCAGCTGCACTGAATTATCTGCAGTGCTCTTAACTCCACCTTCAGTCTTATGCACACCTCATCTCATCATCTCAGAAAAATACAGCACTATATACAGTATATATACATTATTAGAAATCGAAATGGTACACAAAATGGCTTCACGTTGACTACATCATTTTCACACGTGATACATATTTCCTTGTGAGAGTAAAAGAAAAGAAAAACAACTGCTATACCCAGTCGAAATTTGTTTTCATGCGATAACACTATTTTCTGTTATTAAAAATGTTTTTTGTGATAAGAAAAGTAAACTCACATTGTTACATTGGACCAGTAAGCTGATCCAAAACACACACTTTTGAAATTAGAACATGTCTCACAGCAGTCTGTTTGCCATCCATGTATATGTAGATAAACATTAGGATGCTGGTGTCACTATGGACCGATCCACAAAATGCTGTTTTGGTCAGTCAGCAACGGGCTTGTAACTCATTTAAGAGGAGAGGGGTGAATGAAGGGTGAAGGGAGAGTGGAAGCACATTTATCATATTCTAACAGGCTGAACTTCACTATGCAGTGTAAAAGTAAAAAATAAATTAATGAAAATGTATTTGCAATGTAAGTAACATTTAGCTTTATTTCAAATAATTGAAACACACTCGTTAGTTTATACAGTGGCATACACGGCTGGCCCTGGGATACAATTTTCATTTTATTCCCAATTAGTATTTTTCAGTATGCCATCTTGCTTGTCATTTCCCAGAATTTATAGGATCGGCGGGGTTGGCATAGGTGTTGGTTCAAGGCTCCTCCACTGTGGGACCAGCGGGCACCCTCTCTGCTTTTGCTCTAAGCTTAAAACATAACTCTCTGAAAGGGCTTTTATTTAGCTCCCTAATGCATTCGGACTCAATACTTAATAATGTGCTCTTTATGTCCTCTAAAGCACTTTGGGTTGCACTTGTGTTTATAAATTGACTTGGTCCAAGTTGAAAGTCGCTAATATTACGACCCGTGGGCTTTTCTCTGTCTCTTGGTTCCTCTATGCCTGGATTTGCAGATTCTTAGTGCTCAGGTTTAGTCTGTGTTTTGTCTTGTGGTTCAGTTCTTGCTTTGGTATTTGTACACCGGCCTTCACATTCCATTAGATTCATTTTTTTATCTTTAACATTTTGGTTCTGTTTTCCTCGTATTTGAATGTGGGTCTTTTGCTCGGTCTAATTGTTCTGTATAGTTTTGAAGGTGTGCTCAGTTTTTTGTCATTATTCCCAGATGTCCTCATTTATCTTGGTCTTTTCCCTTGGTCAGGGCCCTGTTCACACCTGCTTACGCTTCCCCATTAAACATGCCATTACTTAGTATTTATTTATAGCTCTCGGGTCAAGTCAAGTTTGGCAGTTTGTTGTGGCGCGTTTTACTTTTGTCACACAATCCCATGAAGGCTTTTCTTCTGGTTCTACGTTTCTTTGCTGTTAGTCTTTCTATCAGTCGTTTTTCATTTCGATGTGGTCCTCTAAACTGAGGGCCCCTCTCATCCTTTTGCTAACATGTCTGTTTTTCATCTAGCTTATTATTATTTAAATTAAACCATAAATGTTTCAATGTTTTGTTGGAGGAACTGACAAGTCAGACATCCCAAACATGCACAGCTCTCATGAGAAGAGATGTCATGCCAGTCATTAGAGATGGGATTAATTTTAAAACAAACAGTGACCTTCTCTCATAAACAGGCCAACTGCAATTATTTCAAGTAAAGATCCCATAATCAAATACACGGCGGTTATATTTTCTTTGAAAACAGAAAAAAAAAGTGAAAATAAATTAGATGGCTTATTGCAATGACCCTTGGGAATAGATTCTAAACCATGAATGTCTGCGCCAATGATGGATTTCCCATGGCTCTTCCAAGTTAGTCCGCCTCCATCGCTGTGAGTCGTCTGTGTCAAGTGACCCCCTTTATCCTGCCCACCTGTTGTTTTGGTCAAGCCACACAGCGTCCTTGAGGAAATATTCACAGCGGTACACCCAGGAGCTGCTGCTGCATATAAAGTTTCCATATGAAACAAGAGTAAGTATTAGTATGCTTGAAGAATGATTTATGCTATTCATAGCTTTAGCATTTGCTCCTGCCAGTGGCAGAAAATCATCAAAAGCATCCATTCATGTCTCTTGGTCTTATGCAGTGTCAGCTCAATCACTGAGGTACATAATAGGTCATTCAGTGCTTTAATTTAGGTTACGTGCAAGAAAACACATGTTTTATTGTTGTGCGATTCTGTCAGTTGATTTTATCAGCAATTATATTTCATAAGTTCAAAATGTAATGTTCCTTCCGTGTGACAGAGGAAGATTAAAGCTTGTTTCAGACACACAGGACCAGATAAAAAATATTTTTAATGAGGCATTTGAAAATGTTAAACTCTGTATTCTCGGACATTCAGTGTTTGATAAAGACTTACCTTCGACCGAGTTCAACCACCCTGTTGATTTTGAGAGAAGAGCATTCCCCTTTAGCATCTCAAACCAAGAAAAAAGAGGAGCAACATGTGAGCCACCAATTCTCAACCTAACTGCATTTATTTATAAGGAAACAGGAGAATACACCAGCAGGCAATGTGGGGTGATTCGCTCCCAGAGTTCAAACAGCAACCATCCGATTGGTAAGTGAGCTACAGATGTCAATTACAGAGTTACAGGAAAAAACAGGCTTCTATCACAGTTCTGTGTAGTCTGTAGTAGTTTTTACAAAC